AGGGGTACCTGACTCCTGCCCAATCATTCTGGACGATCCGGCCAGGGCAGATTTACACATGTGGAGTAGATTCTTGGCCGAATGGAACAATGTCTCTTTGTTCATTCCTCCACTTTCAGAGCTCTCACCTACAATTTACACAGACGCAGCAGCACACACAGGGTTCACAGCCATTTTAGGCAACCACTGGTTAAGGGATCGCTGACCCACTGAGACAGATGCCTTGCTGGCCTTTAGAGAGACATCCACATTGTTTGAGATCTACCACATCGTGGCGGTCACCCACACGTGGGGTCATCTCTGGACCGGCAAGGCTTTAAAAAAAATGCTACTCGGACAACTCTGCAGCTTGTGAAATCTTTGACAAGTGGCGGTCATCCTCGTTAACTATTATGAGGCTGATTCGCAAGCTGACTTGGCTCTCAGCAACCTCTCAGTTCCATCTAGTCTGCATTTACATTCCTGGTGTCCACAACACAGCCACGACGCTCTGTCACGCTCTCAATTTCAGGTCTTCTTCCAGGCACTCCTTACGGTTTACCATCTACCATCAATGATACCACCATTCCATGAGCTAATCCTGGACTAAGCGCACAATTACACCACGCACAGGCACTCACGCACCACGCATTTTCACCTAACAACACTATCACTTACGCTAGGACACTGACTATTTTTAACAATTCACTGCAGAGTTTTACTTACAAGGAGACTTTTCCATTAAAACTATGGTGGTTTTTGCCTCCTCCTCTCACCTACACCTTAAATTATCACACAATACCATAAACTCTACCTTTACCGGGGTTCAACACCACATCCTCACAACCTTCCCTAATCATGCACCTTTCTTAACCTCCTACCCTGACACTCTACTATTACTATTCCAAGGGCACCCACTCACTATCAGCTAAATTCATTTCTCACGACAGGACCCTATCATCAAGGTTGGGCTACAACCCGGCTTCCTTCTCTGGTCACTCATTCTGTATAGGGGCAGCATCATCAGCTTCAAGCTCTAACACCCCAGTCCACATCATTGAGAGACTGGGATGCTGGAAAGCCTCAATTTATTTACTTATATGACCCGACCAGAGAGGGAGCTCCGACGAGCCTTCAGTAACCTTGCTGTATAACTTGCAATAAAGTGTGTTTACTTTGAATCCTCTTTTTGCCCTCTTTTTATTACAGGCCTGCTCGTATGTTGGTTTTGTCACATCTCAACCAACTTTGCATCTCCTTGTACATTGCATTACATATTAGAAATTCTGAGCACAAGTTAAAAAGCCATTTAGCCTGAATTTGTGGGAGAAGTTATGTCCCCTACATAAACTCCTACTGCCCTACTCACCTTTGACATTCAAGCTGTTTGTCCCCACGCACCTACACCCATCTATATATACATTTCACCTTTGTGGGCCCTCTTTTTATTACAGGCCTACTCATATGTTGGTTTTGGCACACCTCAACCAACTTTGCATCTCCTTCTACATTCCATTACATATTAGAAATTCTGAGCACAAATAAATATATATATATATATATATATATATATATATATTAATTTACATATGCCCACCCAGAATCTTTTGTGGTAGTAACATCACTGCAAATTTGTGATTTCTTTTGGAAAAGCAAGTCTTATGGCTTGATTGGTATGCAGATTTTTGCTACACATTGTATTAACTACCTACTATATACAAAATACAAATTCATTAATTAATTTATTATTCATGAGTTTATGGTTATTTTACATGTGTTTGTCTGTATTCTACAATTAAGGTAACATGGTACTTCAGTTAAAGTGGAGTATGTGTGTGTGTGTGTATGGACTCAGCAGTCTGTGTGTGTGTGTATGGCCTCAGCAGTCTGTGTGTGTGTGTGTGTATATGTGTGTATGGACATAGCAGTCTGTGTGTGTGTATGGACTCAGCAGTCTGTGTGTGTATGGACTCAGCAGAGTCTGTGTGTGTGTATGGACTCAGCAGAGTCTGTGTGTGTAGGGACTCAGCAGTCTGTGTGTGTGTATGGACTCAGCAGAGTCTGTGTGTGTATGTGTGTGTGTGTGTGTATGGACTCTGCAGTCTGTGTGTGTGTGTGTGTGGACTCTGCAGTCTCTGTGTGTGTGTGTGTGTGTGTGTGTGTGTGTGTGTATGTGTATGGACTCAACTGATCTGTGTGTGTGTGTGTGTGTGTGTGTGTGTAAGGACTCAGCAGTCTGTGTGTGTGTATGGACTCAGCAGTCTGTGTGTGTGTGTGTGTATGGACTCAGCAGTGTGTGTGTGTGTATGGACTCGGCAGTCTGTGTGTGTGCATGGACTCAGCAGTCTGTGTGTGTGTATATGTGTGTATGGACTCAGCAGTCTGTGTGTGTTTATGGACTCAGCAGTCTGTGTGTGTACAGACTCAGCAGATTCTGTGTGTGTGTATGGACTCAGCAGAGTCTGTGTGTGTGTGTATGGACTCAGCAGAGTATGTTTATGTGTATGGAGTCAGCAGTCTGTGTGTGTGTGTATGGACTCAGCAGTCTCTGTGTGTGTGTATGGACTCAGCAGTCTGTGTGCGTGTGCATGGACTCAGCAGTCTGTGTGCATGTGTATGGACTCAGCAATCTGTGTGCGTGTGTATGGACTCAGCAGTCTGTGTGTGTATGGACTCAGCAGTCTGTGTGTGTGTGTATGGACTCAGCAGTCTGTGTGTGTGCGTGCGTGTGTATGGACTCAGCAATATGTGTGCGTGTGTATGGACTCAGCAGTCTGTGTGTGTGTATGGAATCAGCAGTCTGTGTGTGTATGGACTCAGCAGTCTGTGTGTGTGTGTGTGTGTATGGACTCAGCAGTCTGTGTGTGTGTGTGTGTGTGTGTGTGTGTGTATGGACTCAGCAGTCTGTGTGGGTGTGTGTGTATGGACTCAGCAGTCTGTGTGTGTGTGTGTATGGACTCAGCAGTCTGTGTGTGGACTCAGCAGTCTATCAATAATTAAAATTCCTGTGAGTTGTTGTGTAGGAAGGGCCCCAGTGCATTGCTTTGCCCAGGGGCCCTTAACTCTGTTAAAATGGTACTGCTTGTGTGTGTCAGTGAGCTTCTATTTAGTGAGCATGTGTGTGTCAGTGAGCTTGTCTTTAGTGAGCTTGTGTGTGTCCCTGAACTTCTTTGTAGTAAGCCTTCTGTTTATACAAGTGAGTGTCTGTAGTAAGCTTGTGTGTGAGTCAGAGAGTTTTGTCTGTCAGTAAGCCTATTTGCGCATGTCAGTGAGCTTGTGTGCTTACTGTACTATATATATATATATATATATATATATATTTTGACTTGTAGGAATGGCATACATTTTTTTTCCAGGGCTGCTTTGGATTCCCAGGGATTCCCAGTTTGGCTCTGCCAGCGAGTGCACTTTACCGCTGAATCATCTGTGTGAGCTGCCGCACACTTTAGCCCTGTTACACGCGTCTGGGAGCTGCTGTTGACAGGTACTAGTAGTCTAGAGATTGGGACATGGGGTATATGCTCAGCTATCTGTATAATATATAATGTATGTATATAATATCCCGGGATAGTCATATATAATGTGTGTATATAATATCCCGGGATAGTCAGTGCTTCCTGTATAGTGCTGCTCTCTGTATAATACAGGCCTGTGCCTGTATAACATCCCAGGACAGTCAGTGCTCCCTGTATAGTGCTGCTCTCTGTCTTGGGATATTATACACAAACAGACCTGTACTATACAGAGAGCAGCACTATACAGGGAGCACTGAGTGTCCCAATTTATTATACACACAACCCTGTATTATACAGAGAGCACTGACTGTCCAGGGATATTATACCCAGACAGTAATTGATAGCTGTGCTGCAAAATGTCCTTGGAAATTTTTTTTCAAATGTTGGCAACTATAGCACTGTATCAAGGATAATGTGTTTGTTTTTTTAATAATCCCTGGTGGAAAATAATAAATCCTCCACCAGGTATTATTAAAAAAACAAATTACATTGTGTCGGGGGCATGGCTTAACATGCGACAGGGGCGGGGTCAAACTGTGGGGAGGGCGGGGTTAAATGTGCCCCCTTACTTTTGTCCCTGGCCCTCCATGTGCCCCCCCGCCGTAAAATGAATCATAGAGACGCCACTGTTACCCAGTAAGGATTCATGTAATATATAGTTTAGATCTCACCACATATTTCTTTCATCATAAATTATTAATGGAATTGCATCCCAAGTTAACAGTGGTCACAACACTTGTAAATCATCCATGTGCTATTTTCTAACAGATAAAACCCTTTATAAAGATACTTCCTGACAATATCTAAAAAAAAAACAAACACAAAATAGATCACACTTTTTATTTCTATGCTAGTGAAAAGACCATTCAGAAATTTTAGTTTTACTTCTTTAATCAACATTCATCTTTTTTACTCAATATGAGCTTGCATAAATAAACAGAGAATGACAGCAAAGTATGAGTAAGTAAATGTAAACCCAATGTTTTAGTAATATTAAATACAAGAGTACATAAATAATATATAATATGAATAGTGATTCATATTACTCATGAAAAAGAAGTATTGCATAGTTGAGCACATCTCATGGATTTGACATTGGTATAATTATGTGTGTGCCCTCCTTTCTTTAGTATGTATTTCAATATCTAGCAAAAAAGTGTTCATATTTACAGAAGAAAAAAACTATGTTTACAACATATTAAGAAAAATTAGCTATTTGGTCCATTTAATTAATCAATATTTAAGTTACTCTATGAGCAACTGCGAGCTTATGCTGTGCATTATATACCTTTCAAAGGCCTCAATTTAATATTGGAAAAGCTTTCCAAATGGTTTAATATTTTTGGAAAAACTTTTTAAATTATTTAATATTATGAAAAATATTACAATTTTGTAATATGTTGATCGTTTTTGATATATTGATATTTTTTATATATATGATATTTTTTTTTATATTTTAATTTGTTGAAAAAATTATTTTAATAATGAATCCAAAATTTTTAAATACTACCGAAAGCTTATCAACAATAGAAAATAAAGGCCAAAGTTTTTAAGTATTGAATAAACATTTTGAGATGAAAGCGGTCTTTACATAAATGAAGGATGTTGCCAAAGTGTTCCAGATATTACCTAGTAGTATATTACCTAGTAGTAGTTTGAAATGAGGAATTGGTGGGATTAAGTAACTGGCCATCTTTAAACAGTGCCTTGAAAATAGCACCTACATTATACAGGGTGGTTTGTAGATTCAGTAAAAATCTATTAGTATTAGTAACAGAAAAATGTAAACAATCATATGCCAGGCATACTCTGCTGTTATTGTAGTGAATGCCAAGAGATGTGAAATATTCAACATATTAATGATAAACATGCATACAGAGCAAATCTTAAAAAACATTTGCAGAGGTCTATGTTGTGGCATGCTGATCGTGATCTTTTGGCCCTTCTTCTGTGACTGTGAGAGAATTCCTGCATTCAATATATTCCACTGCTCCATAAAGAAGAATTCCTATTACAATCACGCACATTAAAATGTAGAGCTTGATGTAGACACACAGAAACGAGCTGTAACCAAAGGCAATGGCAAATCCAATAGATTCCCATAGAGAGAAATTGGCAAAGGCAGCTTCTTTATTCTTTTCAAAGAGAATACCATATAAAGCTGCAAAACAGGACCAATTTGTATTATTTTAATTGTATAATTACCATAAACAGCTATCACATACAAGCCAATGTTAACATTTCTATTAATCTTTTTCTGTTACGAATTGTACTTTTTAGTCCAGTGAAGATATGCTAACCATAAGGTGACCCCTTCAAAGCACTTAAATGGAAACTGCACCACCAAATACAAGAAAAAATAAATAAAAATCACTGTTTAGAAGATAAACCCCAATAAAAACATGCATTTATTTAAGTATGCACTTTTTCATTGGGTACATCAAAAAACAGCTTGCAATAGCTACAGATTGTCTGTTCTGAAGACTGTGCAAGCCATCCACTTCTAAGCCCACCCAAATTTTCTGTGGCTGTCTAATCCCATATTTGTCAAAGCAGCTCAATGAGAAGTGCTTTTGGGGAGCATTGAGTGTTTCTTTCAGTGGCCATGGGATCAGTGGCAATGGAGTAACCATTTAGGGAGGCTGTTACATTAGGATAAGAGAAAGCTGTTCATCTTATGAGCAGAGGTGGAAAGTCAAACTAGAGTCAAACTGTGCCAAAACAAGATCATGAAGTCCCTTGGCGTGCCGGTCCTTAAATCCTTGAGATGTGTATGTTGCCGTAATGTGCTTGTAGTTTTGTGTATGATACTTATAGATTGTGAGATGCGTATGGTGGCTGCTTTTGGAATTGTGTGTGAGAGGCTGCTTGTGGGGTAGTATGTGTGTATGCTGATTGTCAGTGGTTGTGTTTTTGTGGGTACTGTGTGTGTTTGTGTGTGGGCTGCCTGTATTATCTGCATGAAGAGTGCTGCTCTGTGTATATCTAGGAGTGTGGGCTGACCAGGTACAGGTCAAAGGCAGGAGCTGTGAAAGCTGCTGCTGGCTGCTCTACTACAGTGTGGATTTCCGTTCATAAGTGCTGGGAGGAGGTGATCACTTCCTCTATGTGCTGCAATGAGTGAATTGAGGGTTTTCCATCAACACTGAGATGCAGTAGAACATATCTGAAGTCCCACTGGGACTACTGGTAGGCCAGAGACTGTTCAGTTCTGGTAGTCTTGAGTGCCGTGAAAAGGCTCTTTGAGTGTCATGCATGCAGTGCTGGCACCACGTCAGGCAAACTAGACATTCACCTAGGGTGCCTGCCTGTCGGGGGCGCCCACCGGGATGTTTCCTGGTGGGCTGCCTGCTCCGTCTGGGGCCGCAGGGCTGGGCGAGCGGATCTTGAGCCACCCCCAGCGCCAGGCCGATCCTCAAGGCGGCCGAAGGTTGGTGCGCCGAGAGGAGCCCTGTCATGGGGGGGCCATTTGGCCACCTCAGGGCAACCCCTAAGCTGTATTAGGTAAGGCATCTGCTTACCTTGATGGCAGATGCCTGCTCTGCCATCAAATGCCGGTGACTGGAGAAGAGTGGGATGAAGCAGACAGGCGGCGAGGTAGGCTGTTCTTGGAGTCTCCCACTCCTCCCTCGTGTGTCCTCTGTGATGCCGGGAGCCAGAATATGACGTAATTCAAGCCCCAGCATACTAAACAGCGGGAGGGAGGAGTGAGGAGCTACCCCACACTGGACCCCAGGGAGGTAAGTGTGTGTGTGTGTCAGTGAGTGTCTGCCTGTGTGTGTGTGTGTGTGTGTGTGTTTGTGAGTGAGTATGTATGTCAGTGTGTGTCTGTGTGTGTGTGTCTGTTAGTGAGTGAGTGTATATATGTCAGTGAGTGTCTGTTTGTGTGTGTGTGTGTTTGTGTGTCTGTCAGTGAGTGTTTGTTTGTGTTACTGTCAGTAAGTGAGTGTATGTATGTCAGTGAGTGTCTACGTGTGCGTGTGGGGGGGTCTGTCTGTCAGTGAGTGAGTGTATGTATGTCAGTGAGTGTCTATGTGTATGTGGGGGGGTCAGTCTGTCAGAGAGTGAGTGTATGTCTGTCAGTGAGTGTGTGTTTGTGTGTCTGTCAGTAAGTGAGTGTGTGTGTGTGTGTGTGTGTGTGTGTGTCTGTCTGTCAGTAAGTGAGTGTGTGTCTGTCATTGAGTGTGTGTGTGTGTGTCTATCAGTGAGTGAGTGAGTGTATGTATGTCAGTGACTGTATGTGTGTGTGTCTGTCTATCTCTCAATGAGTGAGTGTATGTATGTCAGTGAGTGAATGTGTGTGTGTGTGTGTGTCAGTGAGTGAGTGTATGTCCTCTATGTGCTGCAATGAGTGAATTGAGGGTTGAAGGTGCAGTAGAAAATATCTGAAGTCCCACTGGGACTACTGGTAGGCCAGAGCCCGTTCGTGTGTGTGTCTGTGTGTATGTCAGTGAGTGTGTGTGTTTGCCAGTGTGTGTCTGTCAGTGAGTGAGTGACATAAGGGGGCGGCAAAATGGATCTTTGCCTAGGGCGGCAGAAATCCTTGCACCGGCCCTGCATGCATGGCACATAGGTTGCTGACCCCCGGTTTATACTAAGGTTTCTGCAAGATCAGGTTTGGTTAGAAACTGGTTTCTGCTTGTGATATTATGGCTAGTTGATCCTATATTACTGTGTCGCTCTTTCATGTTAAGCTCAACCATTGTAAGGACTTGTAATATTCTTTTTTTCCCTTCCCTGAATCTGCAGTTATTTATTTTTTTATAAAATATTTTACAAGGAAGGAAGCATTGAGATTTCTGTTGTTTTCAAGTATAAATCCGAATACTTAACTGAGTGTCTAGACAGCAGCCTGAAATGCACTCAATAACATTTTAATTACGTAACTCTACTTGCTGCATGTGTTAATTTTGCCCACGTGTACATTATTTTTACATGATGTTGGCATTTGTAGGAAGCCTATTTCCAAAAAAATATATACAGGGCTTTCAACCAAAGTGAGAATTCAAGGTGAATTCAAAGGGAGTTTCAAATTTAAGATCATGTAAGGCTAATTTTAAAAACAATAATCATAAGCAAGGTATTGACATTTCAATTAAATATTTCTATACATACTTTAACACAAAAATTTAATTTGTTATGATGCTAAATAGCTGTACCATGTTATTATGTATACAAAAAGAAAACTACAAAAGAATAGGAAGCAACCTATCCTAAGAGTTTGAGGAGGGTTACAGAGGTAAATAGGGCTTAACCCTTGAATTCAAATGATAAAGACTAATGAGGATGGTTAGCTCCTAAAGACAGAAAGAAAAGCCAACCCCACAACTAATATCTCTAGATAGAATTCAATATAGGGTAATAAGCTTTATTGAAAAGAAGAAAAGCACATACTAGACATAAAAGGTGCTCATGCAACTCAAATGTGATGTGGGAAAAAGTATATAAAAAGTGATAATGAAATGACTACTAAATCTGTATCACAGACTGTCAATAAACTCCACAGGCTACAGATGTGGCATTTAGATAATGAACTAGTTTGACACAAATAACAAACTACTTTCTGTAGTAATGCTATAGAGAGTCTGTTCAACAAAGAAGATAACCTATAGACTTGAGATCTAAGTATAAGTGGAAAAATATCCTAAGCCAAAGCTAATAAATGTACGCACTCCACATACAAATAGTTCAAAAGGGCTTAATAGGTGGATTGCTAATAGGGAAGGAGGAAAAAGACAAGTGGAGGCTAGGGCAAACACATTGCAATATAAACCCTAAAGCTGTCTATATTAACCACCCTTGCTGTTACAAAGCAGCCGCCCTGTGTAGAGAATATTTGGATTTATGTGGACATCAGGAGTACACCAAACGAGAGGGGAGAGCCAGCAGATCAGATGAAGGTAGAAGGCTAAAAAATCCGGTGCTATTACTGATGCTAGCTAAACCATCCCCCTGTTGCTTCGAGGTAGCCCCCTGAACTAAAGATTTCTAAGTGTATCAAGTCACAAGAGTATCTCAGTCATATCACTGTCAAATAGAAAAGTGAAATTAAAAGCAAAGTATATGCATCAACAGCCCGACGCACGTTTCGGCGGCAACACTGCCTTTCTCAAGAGCTAAAAAGACATCCACAAAGAGTGTTTTACTAATTTTATTAATTTTGACTGAATTTTGATAAAGACATGCCCCAATAGGTGTTTTCTATATATATTTTGGTTCCTGCTCATTATCAATTTCATGGTAATTGTCCTATTGTTTATTGATGTGTTTTCATCCACATATATCTTTTATGCTTTTTGGTCTTCTGTATGAACCTTTCCTATTTGAATTTGTATATAAATATTTTTTATATCCAACATGTGTATGACTGCCTCATATAGAGTGCAAAACATGCTATCTGTATACACACATGGTTGGAAATCACTTTTGTTGTATCCTGCTTTGGGTAACTACATCTTTCGGGAGCAACTTTAGACTGTATATTTATTGGTGTCTGTCAAGACTGATACCCTTTTAAACAGTCTTTTTTTGTTGCTCCTACTTTATTGGTACATAAATGTGTGAGTCACTATGGAAACTTAGCTTCTAGCATTCTAATACACTCCCTAGGCGGGCTTTCTAATAGCTCAGCCTGTTAGCCTGCGGGTGCGTGCGCATTTAGACTAACTATGTAGTCTCTCCCTCATAACGGTAACCATAGGAACGGGTTGTTTATATTAGGAACCCATACGGTGGCCACACATGCGCAATGAGACATCTGTGCCTCCTCTCGGGAGTTATCTCCATCCATACTAATAGGATAACCCATGCGATTGACCCATTCCCGCTAGAGGCAGGGTTTTTCTACCTTTAAAAAGCTGATTCTTCATGGATGCCTGAAGAATCAGACAATGTTGCCGCCAAAACACGCGTCGGGCTGCTGATGCATACACAGTGATATGACCGAGATACTCTTGTGATTTGATTCTCTTGATTTTTCTTTAGTTCAGGTGGATGCCTCGAAGCAGAAGGGGGGTGGTTTAGCTAGCATCAGTAAAAGCACCAGATTTTTAGCATTCTACCTTCATCTGATCTGCTGGCTCTCCCCTCTCGTTTGATGTACTCCTGTTGTCCACATAAACCTGAATATTCTCTACACAGAGGGCTGCTTTTTAACAGCAATGGGGAGGATATAGACCGCTTTAGGGTTTATATTGCAATGTCTTTGCTCTAGGCTCCACTTGTCTTTTCCCCCCTCCCCTATTAACAATCCACATATTAAGCCCTTTTGAACTATTTGTATGTGGAGTTCATACATTTATTAGCTTTGGCTTTTTTTTTCCACTTATACTTAGATCTCAAGTCTATAGGTCATCTTCTTTTATTGTTGAACAGATTCTCTATAGGATTACTCTGTCTCAGATGTCCAATATTGACTTTATCCTGTATTCATAGGACACTACAGCAAGCAACTTGCTATTAGGTGTCCTAACTAGTTATTTATTTATATGTTACATTGGGTGCCAAATCAGTTAAGTATCCATATGTTAAATTTGTAGCCTATGGAATCTACAGTGATAGTTTGTGATACAGATCTAACAGTTATTTAATCCTATATCTATTACACTTTATCCATAGGATACTGCAGAAAGTAGTTTGTTATTTTTTGTCAAACTAGTTCATTATCTAAATGTCCATTATCTAAACACTCCATCTGTAGCCTGTGGAGTTTATTGACAGTCTGTGATACAGATTTAGTAGTTATTTCATTATCACATTTATATACTTTTTTCCACATCACATTTGAGTTGCACAAGCACCTTTTGTCTAGTATGTGCTTTTCTTCTTTTCAATAAAGCTTATTATCCTATTTTGAATTTTATCTAGAAATATTCCTTGTGGGGTTTGCTTTTCTTCCCGTCTTTAGGAGCTAACCAACCTCATTAGTATTTATCATGTTATTCTGTAGACAGCATAATATAAGTTTGCTTTGCAAGTATCCTAAAAAAAAAAAGACAATATGTTAAAGTAAAACATACCACAAAGAGAAGAATTACGTGGATTGAAATTTTTGCAAAACCATACAGTAAAAAAGTTGTCAGAGTTATTTAGTAAAGTGAGAATTCAAAGTGAATAGGATATGAATTTCAAATGTAAGGCCTGAGTAGCAGAACTGGAATACTGTCAAAAGGACAATAGGAATTAGTGATTTTTTTCCTGTTGTTATCTTGTCCCTACATTTTTAATTCACTCTGAATTGACTTTGAATTCTCACTTAAGTAAGTAACTCAAGTATCCAAATTTTAAACATCAAGAATCTATCATCATTATTATTATTATTATTATTATTATTGCAATTTAAATAGTGCTAACAGATTCTGTATCGCTTTACAATATTATTAGAGGGGGGGATTTGACTATAAATAGGACAATTACAAAACAAGAAACGAAGGGTTGAAGAGGGCCCTGCTAAAACGAGCTTACAGTCTTCTTCTGTTAACGTTCTTCTTAATCTATTTTTTTTTTTATTAATGTTTAACAGAATTGTATGCATTAACTTACAGCTTAGTAGTGTCTGCCAAACTGCGTCGGCAATCCCCCAAAGTGCAGACATCACAAAAAATACAGCAAAGTTACTAGTATTGGGTTTCCACACAAGAAAGCCAATTATGCATCCAATATTAATTGCTGCTCCTGTCAAAGAAAAATAAAATGTCTTGTTTAGACTACTTTAAATATTCATATACATGTTTCCTATCCAAGGCTTTTTTTAATATTGATATTAGAAAGTATAGATTCAGTAAAAAAAAGCTTTAGTATAGTATTTTCTTCCCAACTAGTAACTGTAACTGAAAAATTGCATGCCTGTGGAAATATCAATGTTGCATTTAAATCATATTACATACTATCCCAGATATCTGGTAAAAGCAAAGGACATATGTGCCTAAAAGTGAGGTTATATATGTGCAAAAAATAAAATAAAAATTATGATCACCTGCCAAAAGACTTATCAGTGAAATCTTCAAAATTGCACAGGCATGCATATGGATGTAAACAAACACAATAATAAATGTAATGTATTCAAGACACCAGTAGAGAAAAAAAGGCACAAGATAGCAAAAATATTAAAGGGACACTCTAAACACCATAACCACTTCAGTATATTGCAGTGGTTATGGTACAAGGAGTTCTCACTGCTATCAGATGGAAATCTGTCAAATCGTTTATTAATAGTTTAACACCTACTTGAGTTACAATGATAAAGTGGAAGCTCCCGTCTCCACATTGTCATATCAGCGCAGGTTTTGACAGTATTAACGGGCTGTTAGCCATCTGCTGATACTGTTCAAGCCGGGTAATAATGTGGATAAGTAAACTTCCACTTTATCATAGCAACTAAGAATGGAGGTTTTGTAGGTGCTAGTGTTTCCAGTCTGAGTTACTATGATAGCAAGGTTAGTGTCAAACTGTTCATGGGCATTTCGATAGATTATCACCAGACAGGACCCAAGTCATAACGCAGGGACTCTTGGTACCATAACAACTACACACACTGCTGCAGATAATTTTATATAACATAAAAATGTCAGATTTGTTATGTGTTGATCTATAATAATTTCTCTAGGTATCTACTCACACTATTTTTTAAAAAGGCGTCCAGATATTCCATGCATGATTAATGTGTCTGCTATGCAGCACTAGCCTTGCTGTTTCTGTGTTTTCTAATGCTTCAGAAATAACCTATTCTCCAGGCCGAAAAAGTGTTACTTAAGACTGGCCTCTGACTTTCAAAACCTATATCTACCTTTTCACGGACTGTTTACTTGACCCCTGGGCTCCCTTACCGAAAACTCCTAAATTAATTGCTGCAACAATCTTCTATAGTTCAGATTGAGCCCTGGCTTTTATATTATTTTTGCAACACTGCATTCACAGCAAGTTTGAATCATTGGTAAAGGCTTCTGTTACTCCACACACACTAATTTATCTTTAATATATCTCCCTTAGATGTGGATTGTGTTAGGATTTTCCCTTTAATAACTGATTGCATGAATTGATCGTCTCTCACTGTCCACAGCAGTTTGGGTTGCGATTTTGTAGATTCTGATTTCCTTTTGGAACCTGGCTCAATGTTGTAATCTGGGCCCTCTTTACCGCAGAGCAAACAGGACAGCAAACAGGGGTCCCAAGCAAATGTTTGCCCAGTGTTCAATCAATATTAAAGATGGCCCTGGTTGGAATATGCAGATTAGCTTTCCTGTTCCTTCCTCTTGTATTAATATCAAATCAACAAATTTCCAATGGTCACATACCTTTCCACTAATTTCTCAAGGTAAATCTTCACATCTAGCAAAACCTTGTGCCTGGTAACTGAATATTGATTTGGCTGATTTGCAATACCACATGCTAAAACATTGTACTATTAATACACTTATAAAATTACCTTTGCACAGTTGTTTCATTCATTTTATTCACTAAAGGGATAATTGCTAGGAATTCAAAAAGGAATTTCAAGTTGAAGTTCAATATAGTCAAACTGAATGCAGAATTGACCTATTCCAGCTAAATTTTGAAATTCACATTGAATTCACTTTGAATTGCCGGCTGTTCTCATTATAGTAAATAATCCTGTCCATCTTTACAAATAGAGTGCCTTAAGAAAGTATCAAAATATAGTACTTTACTTAAATACGGAATCTTACCCAGTAAAAACAAAGGAATCCGTCCAGTATATTGGGTGAGTTTTCCAAAAAGAGCAGCACAAATTGAGTTGGTAACTCCAAAACATATGATTACAAAGCCAACATATTTTAGTCCCAAGATGCAGGTTACATATGACTTAAAAAGATAGAAACAATGGATATTGTAATGGCAATTTAAAAAATAATTAGACATTAAACTGATCAACAATCACAAAATGTTTTATGTATAAATATCTGATGGAATGTGATTATTTTTCTGCTCCTAGATGCATAGAAATTAATGTAGAATAACTAAAGTTTGTTAGGCTTTTTTGGTGTCCTAGCAGAGTTTCAGATAAATTATATTCATTAAATGGTATAATTTACACTGTCTAATTAGTAAAGCTTTAAAAAAGCTCTTATAATGGCATAAATACAACACCTAGTGAGACCAGCGTTACATCTAGAAGCAGGTCTGTGACATGTCACACAGAATATCATAGATCTTTAAACCAGCTTCAGAGCATAAGTGACTTAAACAAGTGCATGGCTATGTATTAAACTTGGAGATACATCTTGAGTCAATCCAGTTTAATTCCTATTGCCAACTCACAAGTAGAATCTCAGGGGAACCAAATTACGCAAGGCCAAACATTCAAATTTTCATTCTTGATTTGGAGTACCACTCCAAACACCAGAAAAAAAGGAGGGTGGAATGGAGAAGAGGCAATGGTTTGGGGGAAAGGGCTATGATCTTTCTTTGTGAAAACATCAATAGAATTCAAAGAATATCAAGTCTACCTAAAGTGGAGAATATGCACTTTTGGCAGTGACTGCAACGTGAATCTAAAGCTATTGAATCCATCTTAAAACAATGGAGGTATCTGGCAGAAGTACCATTCTGAGTACAGGAGCTCCTTTACACTGTTTAACAATGCCAAGAATTTGCAATTCGGACCCCAAAAGGCCTTCTTTTGGTCTGAATTTCAGTCAGATCAATTGGAATGCTTCAAATTTGGGCCTGGATGCTTCACCAGCAGCCCTAGCAGCCAGCAGGCAAATAGTTTAAAAAAAACCTCAGAAAAGAATTGGTTTAATTGGGTTAGGGTTAACCATGTGGTGGCTGGCCAGCACTTGATAGCAAGTTGCCACATTATATAGTTAAAAATAAATAAATAAAAAAGCCTATGGGGTTTAATAAGACATTAATTATAAGACATTATAAGATATTACAATAAAGGATATTTAACATCTTCCTATGCCCCCACCAGCCATGTGGCAGTTTAGGACATACCTAATATTTGACTTAAACTAGCAAATGAGCAGCCATTGTTGACCAGTCATTAAAAAGGCCCCGTCGTATAGAGAAGGGTCCTGTGAAATAACACTGGGGACATATTCCCCCCATAATACCACCTATGAGTCTCGAGTGGGGAACATTAAAAAATAATGGGGGGAAAGCAGATCACTCTACACACTATCCCCAGCAGTGGCCATTGGAAGATGGTCATTTAATAAAATAAATGTGAGGGACATTCGTATGCCCCCCCCTGAGGGGCTATTATTATATTCACTGGAGTGGGTAGGGCCCTAATTTTAATATTCAAAGGGGTGAAACCTAGTGTTCCCTCCAAACCCCTGCAAATAGGTGGTTAATTAAACCGTTTGAGTGGATTTGCCATTGTGGATCATGGATTGATAGACTCTTGTGAGTCAAAATATTGCCTTTCGCTTTCAATAAAATCTGCATTAGATATAACCTGTGTACTCAGATTCTTCTGTAGTTTTTGTACTAAATTTGAGTTTTTGCCACCTCTGCCTGGCAACAAATGAAGACCATACGAAAAAAGCATGTGCATTCCTTAACCTTTGTTTTTTTATAATCATATGTAGCATAGACTGTATGTACAGCTTCTGTGTTGTAGTTTATTTATATTTTGAAAGGGTAGTGGATATTTAGTTTGCTGCTGCTCTTCAAAATATATAATGTAAAATAGAATTGTTCCTTATATGAAATATCATCTTGGTTTGCTTTTCCTTGGCTTACAAGAGCTTTGCACCTTCTGTGTATTTTTTTTCTAGTGTATGCATTAAAAAAAACAGCTACTTTAGTGTGGGCATGGTAATTTTTTCTTCAGCCTGAATCACTGCTTTTGCAGCCAGGTTCAAGTTGTGACTCGTCCATTCTATGTAAGAAAGCTCACATTGCAAGTTTCAACAGAATAAAAGCCAGTGGTTGTTTATTCATTCTACTCCACTACAAAATATATTGGTGCTTCATTAATCATTATTTATTATTATTAATAATAATAATAATAATGATAATAATAATAATGATAAATTACTCAATGATTTAATTTAATCTGCATTCATTTGACAAATTCTATCTGTGAAACTATGTTACGGAATTACTTTAGTAGTTTTATATTAGCGAGCTACTAATGTTGATTGGTTCAATAAGCTTATCATAAATGCAATTTCACAAACCATCAAATCTAATGGATTTGAGTATTAAATTATATTACCAATAAAGTGTTTATCTTATGATTGGCTAGGAACTTCTTTGGCAAATTGCATTTAGCAAACCAGTGGTAAACTATCACTACTAATCATAAAACAAATAAATAAATTGCATCTCCCTATTCAAGTTCAAATAGGCTCATTATAGAACATTGACATTTCCCAAATAACAATGAACACACATTCCACTCATCTATATATAGATTCTAAAAATAACTTATTGTCACTCTTTGCAAGACATTTCCATCAGTAGATTGTAATTAGATTGTATGCAGTATTGTCCAGTGCTGATAATTACAACACATCTGATTAAACAGTATATCTGTGTCTTGTAATATAATTCAATGTAGTATACCTACTTTTGTAAAATCACTAGCAATGAATCCTTGCTCAAAACCACTGAACATAGTAAGTGGAATGAGAAGACACTGACGTTTATCACGTAGATGCTTCAGTGCAGATAATAAGGTTGAACAGCAGGACGTTTGGCTATCTTTATTCTTTTCTCTGTCGGTATGTGTTTGATCCAAGAATATAATGATTAGCAGCACAGCTAATACTCCACATCCTTAAAGTAAAGTAAAGATTTAACATGTCAATTGTGGCATGCCTAGGAGAAAAAGGTTCTATAACATTTCAGTCCATGTTACGTACCAGTGTAGGATCCCAAAAGAATGTAAATTACAGTTTTGGTTGGACCGGCTGTATCATTTGTTGACTGTGCTGACTGAACTGGACAGTCACCTGCCCCACAAATAGTTTGATTGGCGGCATCTAGGCTTCCTAGATATTCATATTAGAAATATATTATTTTTTATTGAAAAGGTGAAATATATTTCTATAAATGTTAGACAGATTATCTTACCTGCATTTGGTGTTAGGTGGAATATTAAAGCAGAGATTAGGTTTCCCCAGACACGACATGTTTGGCAAATGAAAAAGAAGATGCCAAAATATTGGTTTACCACATGTTGAGTAGGTTGGCCAGACATTTCAGCATGTTTATTTCCAGTTATTGTGATATAGGTACTCTTGCTAGCCCAAAGGGGTCCTCCACCAAGTCCCACTAGTATAGATGAGATTATCAGTGTAGGCCTGCAAAAATATTTAATATGGATGTTACTTTTTGTTATTACCTTTGACAAGTCCATTTTCTCCAAATCATCTAGCTTTTAAACTTTCCCCCGGGAAAAAAAAGTGTAAATATCCACACATCACATAATGTTTATAGAGAACTGGACAAACAAAGAACACAATAAAATATAGAAAGGGTAGATGACAACAGCCACTTGTCTATGTGGTGGTGTCCCAAGTCTCAAGTACCTTTTGATATTTCTTTGTAGGTTATCAGTCTGTTATCTCACTATCCCCTAGTAGATACCCATGCATCTTGATTGTCTTTATGTCTATCCTGTTTTTCTTATGCATGTCCCATGTTCATTTTGTACTATATATTCTCCTTAAGGCACTGCTTATGTTTTTACTTGTAATCTTCTATATCCTTCTTACAGATGTCCAAGTTCCTCTTGAAGTACACTGTGAACTTATCATGGCATTCCCTCTCCTTCTCTGTTCTTGCTTATGGTCTTTCTTGTAATCTATCCGCCTTGTTTTGTCAAACTGCCATATCTTTCTTGAAGCTCTACTTTTATATTTCTGATATTATTTTCTGTCTGTGACCTATTCTGGTTCCTCTGGTTCCTGCTGTTTTATTGTTTCCCTTTTAAGACTTGTGCCTCCTCAGTGCATGCAAGATGGTCCTATTCATTGCATGATTTGATGCCTATTACTCTCTGAAAGGAAAACTCAAAACTCCATAATCTCCAACACTACTACTCTCACTTCTGGAATTTTCCATGAGGACAATTCTGCTAGATTTACTGAGCTGAGCAAGGCAATGCAAGACCAAGCTCATGCCTGGGTTAAGTGAAGTGACTTGGTGAAAAACAAATGGGCACAAACATATGGAGCTTTAAGCAAAATGTGTTTATTTTGTATTCATCCTTAAATACATATTGTAATGGGTTGGTTATAGAACAGACATCTTTGACTGTGTCATGTGACGTTTCCACTGGCATATCTAGACTGCACACTGAAATATAGGGCTTTCCACAATCAAGTACTGCTGCACATTGTTTTGTCAAGCAAAATGTAAGTTTGATGTACAGACACACATATATAAATAGTTAGCCAACCATACCAAAGTTCTGTGGAAGTGTGCTGTTCGTGCTCCAAATAATCTTTGTTTTGTGTGCCTGTGCTGTGCTTTTTATGGGTTACAGCTGGTGTTCCATAAAACCTAGGCATAAAATACTTTAAGCAATTTAAGATATTGGGAACCAGGCTCCAAAATACAGCTGTTTCACCAGATCAGCGTCACTTGGAAGGTATAGAATAGTCAAATTATTGTTGAACAACTGATTTTCTTTCATATGCTTATACTTTGTTAAATGGTGAATATTGTACAATAACACACTTTCATAAAACAGTGTTTTAAGTGTTGCACATTGTAGTTTATTAGGTGCACTATAAAACACTTGATATGCTTCTACAATAAACAGACATATAAAAGAGGATAAAATTGAATGTCTACAGATTTGACTATGGGGTAGCCTGCCCATGACATAATTCACCATATAGCTAGAATTGCAATGTAAAGCATATTTTGCATATGAATTGTTGATAAGTAGTCTCAGTATTAATATTTTAAGCACACTCCTATTGTATATTTTATATTTTGCATATGAGTTAGTTGCTTAGAAAGAAGTAAATAATTCTATGTGCAGGCTTATTTGGAAAATATTTGGATCCTGAGAAATTCAATATTATACGATCCATATGAGGCATCACAAATGTAAGAACAGCTTCAAGCTTCAAGGTCAATGAGGGTAAATGAATGTAATAGCTGTGACCCATGGCAACATTATGAGGCAACATTTGTGTCTGCTGAGAATGCTTATATTAATCTTGTAGATCTGACTAAATACTGACCTGATACTTTAAGACATAATGTAGTCTGTCACACCTAGAGGTGGAATCAGCATATATCAGTCTTAGTGGTATTGAAGCGGGAAGTAAACAAGTAGGGAAAATCCCAATTTGAAAAGGGAAGTTTGTTTAGATGCATGGGTCACTTAATGGGCACTTTTTGATTGTTTGCTTAATTCCTGAGGATTAGGGCAAACAAGCATCATAACATTCATCACCATCACTGCCTAGATTTTAGTGGCTATGGTTTCCAAGTAAATAATGTTCAGATAGTCCATTTTACATTTTTACTGTCTCCTAATAAAATCTCCAAAGTTAGATAGTTTAATCACATGGATAAAATAATTAGTGATTTTTGGTGATGAAAGTTCTTTCACAGAAAGACAAGTACAACTTAATTGCTTGTGTACATGAAAAAACAGCTTGATGTTTTAGAAAAGTCATGTTAAATCAGTAAATGTAGGAACTTTAATTGCAAACGTGTTGTATCCTGTTCCAAATGTTACTTGGAAATAAGGCTATGAAAGGATTAGAGCACTTGAGATATAACTCAGATAAGACTGCATTTTGCATTTGCATTTTCATTGCATTTTAAGAGCATTTCACCTCATTTCCAAGTGACCCTGATCTGGTGAAACAGCGGTATTTTGGAGCATTTCACCTCTGGGTGGTATATCAGGAGAGTCACAACAAAAGTACCTTTGCTAACCATTACTTAACCAGGCTAAGCACAATAAGTATTGAATGACTAGTTTACTAAAATGCAAATCCAGTAAAAAAATTAATTTGGTTGTCTGAATTTTGATTCTGCATTTTAGTTCATATGAATATTATAAATGATTCCAGTAAAATCATTTGGACTAACCAAAAGAGAGACAACAGATACAGACACATACTCCAAGGAATCCATGTGTAAAGTGGAACTGAGGCAAAACTGTTGTTCTTTGTTGAGCTCATTTCCATACCCAGAATCCCTTGCAGTAGTAAAAGCACTGTTAAAGTGAGATTTCTGTGGGAAAAGCAAGTCGTATGACTTGACTGGTGTGTGTATTTGTGTTTATCAACGTATTAACTATCCACTTACTTCAGGTGGAAGGGGTTTTCATCCACACTTTTTTTTCCCCACCATAACTTTTTTGGTATGTACTTTACAAGTAACGCCAAGCCTCCATAACAAGCCAGTAACCAACCTCATGACAACCTCATGTTGATGAGTTGCATTAACAAGGAAACAGCTGTCCATGAGTAGTTCACTGGCTTTGCATCTCTTCCTGAGTTGTGTTTCAAAGCTGTTGTTTACAGCACATACTCTAAGGAATCCATGTATAAAGTAACATTGATGCAAAAATGTGGTTCTTTGCTAAGCTCATTTGCAGTAGTGAGAGCTTGACTGGTGTGTGTATTTGTATTAGTATTCTGCTTAGAATTTGAACAACCAAATTTTGACCAAATTCTGACCTATTTGAATGATATTTTACCATGGAAATTTTGTTATATTCATGATTCTGAGCATTTGCTTACTTTTGAACATGAAGTTGTGCATTTTAAATATTCAGGCTGGATGTTCCCTGATTTATTTATTTATTTATTTATTTGCTTTAGTAGATGGAGCCTAACTATGAATCAACTTTTTTTTGGCACCACTCCGAATCACAAATCAAACAAACCTGTTCATCCATTGTTCATCCATTGTCATTAGTTTCAAGATACATCTATATGGTGCTTTGGAGTTACGGAATTTGGATGACCAGACTCAAGACAAATTGCAATTTGTTTGAAACTGAAGGGTACAAGTTTTAAAGTTATATGACATACAAATATGATCAAATTAAGGAAGATAATGTGTTAGCCATAAATATTGTACAAATGTTTTTGTTTTTTTCAGTTTTTTCTATTTTTACCTATTTTAGGGATTACTGTGACAGATGAGATTGACTCTACATGGAAATAGACAACAGCCAGGTAGAACACACACTTTTTTTTGTAGGAAATATTAAGGAAATGTAGTTATCTCTTGTTATATATCTTTCAAATTAAATGATATTTTAATTTTATTGAAGACATGTTCCAAAGCAGCTGTTGTTCCTGTCTTTGCACTTATATACAAGAAAAAGCCCTCTTATATTGGGAACAGATATGGGGTGTCACTAATTTAAAGGATAGGCAGCAGAAAGAAAATAGCTCCAAAACCTTTGACTAATAAATTAATTGAAGAAAATAGCTTCAAAACCTTTGACTAATAGGCCGAAAATGAAAATAAATTGTAGATTAGAAACAACTTCAAAGGTAACTCAGGAAAGTTATTAACAAACTTTCCAAAACTGTACAATGACTCGAAACAGTGGTAGCAATTTAACTGACTCACCCAAGCTTTCATATGAGTGCGCAGTCTATTGTATAAGGGTGTGCACCTTAAAGCAGAAACACACACGCCGCGTACATATATATATATATATATATATATATACATACATACACACACACACTGCTGTGTGTGTGAGAGTGCTGTGTGTAGGTGCTGTGTGTGTGTGTGTGTGTGTGTAGGTGCTGTGTGTGAAGGCGCTGTGTGTGTGTGAAGGTGCTGTGTGTGTAAGGGTGCTGTTAGTGTGTGCTGTGTGTGTGTATGTGTAAGGGTGCTGTTAGTGTGTGCTTTGTGTGTGTGGGTGAGGGTGCTGTGTGTGTAAGGGTACTCTTAGTGTGTGCTGTGTGTGTGAGGGTACTGTTAGTGTGTGTATGTGTAAGGGTGCTGTTAGTGTGTGCTGGGTGTGTGTGTGTATGTGTGAGGGTGCTGTGTGTGTAAGAGTGTTGTTAGTGTGTAAGGGTGTTGTTAGTGTGTGCTGTTTATGTGTAAGGGTGCTGTGTGTGTGAGGGTGCTGTGTGTAAGGGAGCTGCTAGTGTGTGCTGTGTGTGTGTGTGTGTGTGTGTGTGTGTATGTGTGAGAGTGCTGTGTGTGTAAGGGTGTTGTTAGTGTGTGCTGTGTGTTTGTAAGTGTGCTGTTAGTGTGTGCTGTGTGTGTATGTGTGAGGGTGCTGTGTGTGTAAGGGTGCTGTTAGTGTGTATGTGCTGTGTGTGTAAGGGTGATGTATGTGTGTGTGCTGTATGTTTGTGTGTTAATATCCCCCCTCCCTTCTTACATTATGTAGGGAGTGGGGACCGTGATCCTGCCTTCCCTGGTGGTCCAGTGGAGAGTGAACTTTAGCCCCCTGTGGGGTTAGAGTTCACTCTCGCTAGATCTGAGCGAGATCTTGCGAGATCTGAGCGGCAACGCTCCGATCGCGCAAGAGGAACCTAGCGGAGCTGCTGACAAGAGCTCCCCGGGTCCTCTCCTGCCTCCCTCCCTGCCTGTGGGTTGGTGAAGGAGATCTTTGATCTACCTCACCTGCCTACGGAGGGAGGCACATAGTGCGTGCCGCGGGGATTAGGGTGTGCCTAGGCACACCCGGCACACCCCGTGTGCACGCCTATGCAAGCTTTCCTTAATTCAATAGCAGACTCACACCTCTCCTTCCAATCTAAATTTATTGGGGAGACACCTCGCAACCTACCAAATGTTTGTGTTTAGCATGTTTTAGCTGGTATATTAAACCTTTGTACTACATACCTTGGCAAAATGGGATTAAAACCTCTAGTAGGCAATGCACATGGACAAAGGTGCTTAGATGAATTGTAACATGCATTAGCAATTTGCTCTCTTCTTTTTACTTTAGGATAAGTACTAAGAAATAGTTCACTTTTTTTTCCACTTACCTCTGTAGTCAGTAAGGCAACACACCTAACTAATACATGTCTCATTTTATCATTAGAGTTGGCACATGTAGGCACAAGTTTGATAGGTAGTGAGTTTTCTACCCATTACCTTTAGATATGCAGAAGATATGTGAGTCTGCTATTTAATTAAGGAAAACATGGGTGTGCCATTTACATTGCTATCACATTGGATAGTTTGTTAACTTTTCTGAGCTACCTTTAAATTGTTTTCAAATCTGTATTTTATATTCCTTCCTAGCCTAACATTCAAAGCTTTGTAAGCTATTTTGGTTTACTATCATAGCTTGGTGTAGGTGTTGGGATTACACTTTCGTATAGTTTGTAAATCATTAATACCATATCTGTCCCTATACCTGTCCTCTATCTAGGAGATGTTTTATTCTATTTAAATATTTTTTGTTATGCTCTTTTCTTTTTTTTTGGAGATTGTTTCAGGTATAGCCATATTGGCATACCCTTTGCACAATATATATATATATACACATAAATACACATATACTCACACATACACAGACATACAATTACTGGGGGCTTCTTTCCAGGCTGAATCTCTTGGCTAGTTGCAGTTCTGTAGTTGGTCACACCAGGCAGTGCCTGCTGCCATTACTCTGTCATTCTCTCCTTACTGACATGTAAAACAAGTTGTTGGGGAGTATGATACATTGGGGTTTATGTTTTTGGCATTCAGATTACTTCAACTAAGCTGGGTTAGAATTTTCTGTTTGCTACTGGTCATTAGCAAGTAAAAAGTTTGCCCTTATGAGCAGTTTCACCAAGGATTCCCGAAGCTTACATTGGTAAGTAAGTTGTAAGACCTGGCTAGCAGTATATGGCTTGACATTTTAAGCCCTGTAAGGAATAGCTGTGTATATATTTGGTCTACCAGGAATTTATGCTGTCATTTAAATTAAATCTATATCTTCACACTGATATTTCTGCATTCTGCAACACCGGGATTTTTTATTCATGAGAAATAAGCATGTGTTGAAATGAAAATCCCATGACTAAAGTAGCATTGACTATAACATATATATTATAATATCTATTAATATTTGAATATTTACCAGCTTGGGTAGAAGTTGCACAGGCTGTATGAAATGAAGCAAAACATAGAAGCTACAATGGTCCACTTGCAGCCAAGTTTCTTTATCAGTAAAGGAGGCAGCAACAAAGATGAAATGCTGAGAGTTACATACATCACACTTAGTGAGGCAACACCAAGTCCTTGAATCTTGTTTAGACTACTCTGTTGTAAAGAGAAAAATGATTTAAAAAAAAAAAGAGTACAATAGGTGGAGTTAACCACAAAGCATAATGTTGTGCAAACTCCCTAATGTTATAGTGCTATGTTGTTGATAGCAGTATACACAGAAGGGTGTATGTCTACTTAAATAAAACAACAACAAAAACTGAACTGGGCATCAAGACAGTTTTAATACATTTGATAGTTTGGCCTGTTTGTGCTGTATTTTTTGCATGCTCATATTTTTATAGTTTTTACAGAAAAAATAAATATTTTTCAAAATGCTGCACCATAAGCCTTTCTACTTAAAGGGACACTATAGTCACCAAAACAACTTTAGCTTAATGATGCAGTATATAGGTATATAGATCATGCCCCTGCAGTCTCACTGCTCAATTTTCTGCCATTTCGTTAAATCACTTTTCTTTCTGTTTATGCAGCCTTAGTTACACTTCCCCTGGCTGTGACTGACACAGCCTGAATGAAAAAAAAATGGTATCATGATGATATTTTAGAAGTTCTTTTTTTTTTTCCTGCTATGTAATTTGAACTTGAATTACACACAGGAGGATGCAGGATCTAGCAAGCTATTAAAAGAGCAGGAGATAAATTCTAAATTAATTAATTAAAGGAAGTTTAAACATTAGATGTCTCTTTCTAGAAAGTGTTTAGGAATGAGATGGATAAATTACACTCAGGGTGATTAGGAGTGATTTAACTCCTAAATGGCAGAGAATTGAGCAGTCAGACTGCATGGATATGATCTATACACCAAAACCACTTCACTAAGCTAAAGTTGTTTTGGTGAGTAAAGTGTCCGTTAACAATACTCCATCATGTCAGAAAGACTTAATTATTAGTGTATCAGTGCAGCTCAGCCACTAACAGCACAAAGTGAGATGCTTTTAAGAGGTACCTCTCATTCCCCAAACAACTTATGCTCATTACATTGAGCATAAGATTTTATCTATACATTGTGCTAGCAGTTTTGCTAGTAAATATATAGATTAGGAGAAAAACCTATTTAAAAGAGGCATTCCTCGGCACTGACTTACAAGGAAGAGCAGAAAAGAGGAGATCCCTCTGCTCTGCTCTACACCTACAGCATGCACTGTGGTTGCTACGAAAACTCCCTAGCCATCCCTTCTAGTACTGACATATAGCAATAGAGTTAGGTGACGTCATTCTGTTCCAACACCTACACACGGGCAACAAAGCCGGTGTGCCAATGTGACTGATAAAATTTGCCCTGCTTGGGGATGTGTCCCAAGCAGGGCAGATCAAATAAGACTGCAGGAGGAATGCAACTAGAGTGGTGGACAGTCACAAAGCATCGCTGGAATGAAGTAAAAGTGAGTTAATCTTAAATTGAACAGGCCGTGTTTATTTCTGATACATGTTCTATTCAGTGTATATGGAGTAATTTCAGGTAAGTTACTTTTTCCATAACAGGTTAAATTTAATTTTCAGCTTGTCTGCAAACAGTGAGAGAAAACTACAGACACAGGTAGTGATATCTGTGACAGAACACCGTCACTGCGTACCATGCCCACAGGCTTGCCTGCTAAGTGTCACGTATTCATCCGCTTATAAAAATGTGGTTAATGACATTTACTGTCCACACAGGAAAAGTTGTGCCGAGCAGCAACCAAATCCACAGAAGGATTAATGCTGAGCAGCAATTATGCAAATGGGAACCTGGTAACTGCCTTTGGGGTCAAAGGCCTGTTACAGCCTATCAGATCTAGAGGAGGGGTATTTAGGCCCAGTTCTCATCCTGCTCAGGGCCCTGTCGTGGTTTCCCTTGTGGTTGTCCGAGAGCGCGTTATTGATTCTGGTAATTATGGTTATTTGACTTTGGCATTGTTTTTGACTTCCCTGTTTTCTGGCATCCCTGACTCCTGGCTTTTCCTTATCGTTGTGTCTCTTTCTGTTTCCCTTGACCTCGGCTATTCCTGACTACTCTTTGGTATGTTAGTCCGGCCATGCTAAGGTCTGGTATATGCTACCTGTCAGTCCTCTGTGTTACACAATTCTACGTGCTGGATCATTCTGTAATCCTGACACTTAGGGGGTTCAGGTCAGGACTATTTAACAATGTATTGTTTGTCCATGCCTCTCCCCCTCCCCCTTCCTTTTCCGGTTGTATTGTGTTGTAGACCCCATGTAGGGGTCTTTGCCTAACAAACCATGTGTGACAAAATAAAAGGATTTTTTTTATACCTGAGAGGGAACAGAATCATGGAGGGATGACCGTAATGTCAGGTTGGAAACCCCTTGCATGGGACTTTTGCATAAAAGGCAGTGTGTTGCCTTGAATAAAGACAGTCTTCTCCCAGCATTAAGTCTCGGGTAAGGTGTGGGGGAAATGCTATATTTGCTATAATCACTTGCTATACAGCTATACTCTCTGGAGGAGCGCTCTTCCTCTGGGAGCTGGATCCAGGTAGTTGGTCCAGGGCGGCGAGACCCCAGCCAAGATGCGGCGGCTAAGGACTGGAAGTGCTTATGGTGTCCCAGTGAAGTGCTTATGGTAGCTTTGTGATAAATAGGAAGCGAGATTTGCGGAGGTACTCAATGCACAATATCCTTTCTATATGTATGTCTGGGTAGCCTCTCATCACGCAGGTTGTTTTGTAGGTCAGATCAAACAGTGCTGTTAGTGGCTGAGCTGTGCACATAATTTTGATAAAAAGAGTCTTATTCTAGAATTAGAGGGTGTAGCTAAGGAGGCAGGATTATAGTTCAGCAAAACGTTATTTTTTTGTTCTATGTAATAACTATAAAGATTTGAGAATGCAAAAATGCTGCATTTTAACAAAGTCACAACCTTTAAAATGCATGAATGTTTTATTAGTTACATTATAACAAAGAATTTAAAAAAATGGATCAAGGTTAATATTACAGGTTTTTAATAACATTTACAAAATAAAAGAAGTGAAAGTCTATTATTAAATTATTAAATTAATAACCTTATAATTCTAATTAATAATGGTAATTCACAATTGGATGCCAGTGTACAAAACAGTTATAGAGAACACCTGGTGTTTGACGCATGGTTGTTGAGATTGATCAGCCTTATATGAAAAAAAGCTGAAATTTAAATTGCTTGTAAAATGTTTGTACTTCACTGGCACCCTTAAAAAAACTCAGATCTTGTCTTCTGTATACATGGCAAATATGAAATTTGCCCTTGCATATTCTGTCCCAAATCATAAAAATGTGAACTGTACAGAACTTTTCATATTGCCATATCCAATGATATTAACGTAAACTTGGTTTACCCAGGTGACCTAACCATATTTTATGACCAGTGTTAACTCATTTTGCCTTGATGGAAAAGAAGGTGCAAAATGGGGCAATTACAGTCATAACACAAAGGGAGCAAAATTGGAATAGGTTAAAAATATATATATTGTATGATCAACTCATGTTGATCATAGAATATGTTTTTGGCCCAGTGACCCATCAATGAACAGTCACCCTCTGGGTCAAATTAGGATAGTTTCAAAATAGAAAGGGTTAAGTTTATTTTTACAATATGACTTCACACTTCCCTGACTGTTAAGTTTATTGAAGTATTAATTTAATATACTTTTAAGCACACTTAGCATTAGGCTTTACGTGCAATCTCCTCTATACAACCAGTACTTAGTTTAGTTGACATGTTTTATAAGATGGGAAGGGTTCATCATGTCTTAAAAAGACACGCATGTGTTGAGTACATTGTCAACATATGTAAATATGTCTAACTAAATATACTTCAAATTCACATGTGCAAAAATTACTAAAAAGTTAATAAATATAAATAAGTTATTATCATTATATAGCACAGTTTTCTTGAAAATTATTAAAGACTAAGGATAACCAGGAACAGCTCAAAGGCAGAGGCTAACACACCTGACTTCTTTTTTTAAATATCACACTTTCCAAATTGCTAGGTATTAGTATTTAACCCACCCAATTATATTATTTATTTCCTGCGTAACACAGGATTATGTCATGCCTTATTATTAAATATAATGATACCGACAATGAACTTTTTAACTGAAATTAAATTAATTAAATACATGCAAAAGCCTTAAAATTACTCTATTCCCAAAAATTACTCATCCATTCGGCACTTGTTGGTAAGAGACACTCTTTCCATAACCCTGCGCTGGCTTATAATTTTACAGCTGCTATAAACCACTAACCCTAACTAAGGACTTGTATAACCATGAAAATATGATCCATTATGAATAAAACTGCATCTAAAATGGAAAGATTTTCTTAAAGACAATGAACAAGTATCTGCCTTAATGTTATTGTGAGAAGAATGCACATACAGCAAATATTTAATTTGCACAGTTGATAAAGTAACACATACTTTATTACAAAATGTCATTACTATCTGATGTTACTTTTTTTTAACTCTGTTAAATGAATAACAGTTTTCCTATTAAAATGTATGAATTATCAGATATATGCTTATCTCGTATAACATAATCTAGCTCTATTTTATTTGAAGACCCAAAGTTATTAAAAGATCTTAGTGGTGTACTAGTAAAACCATTAACCAAAACCATTAACAGATTTATTTAACCAATCATTGTTAGCAGGAGTAGTAAGACTGGAAATTAGTGAATGTTGTGCCCATTCACAAGAAGTAGGGAGGAGTCGGGCAACTATAGGCCAGTAAGCCTTACTTCAGTAGTGGAGAAAGTGATGGAAACCATGTTAAACGATAGGATTGTTGAACATCTAAAATCACATGGATTTCAAGATCATGTCAAACTAATCTTATTGATTTTTTTGATTGGGTAACTAAAATAATAGATCAGGGTGGTGCAGTAGACATTGCTTACCTAGATTTCAGTAAGGCTTTTGACACTGTTGCACATAGAAGGCTTATCGATAAACTGCAATCTTTAAATTTGGATTCCAATATTTTTGAATAGGTAAGGCAGTGGCTGTGTGACAGGCAACAGAGGGTTGTAGTCAATGGAGTATATTTGAAGCATGATATTGTCACTAGTGGGGTACTTCAGGGATCTGTACTCTGACCCATTCTCTTTAATATTTTTATTAGTGATATTGCCGAAGGTCTTGATGGTAAGGTATGTCTTTTTTACTGATGATACTAAGATATGTAACAGGGTTGATGTTCCAGGAGGGATAATCCAAATGGCAAATTATTTAGGTAAACTAGAAAAATGGTCAGAGTTGTGGCAACTGACATTTAATGTAGATAAGTGCAAGATAATGCATCTTGGATGTAAAAACCCAAGGGAAGAGTACAGAATTTGTGATAGTCCTAACATCAACATCTCAGGAAAGGGATTTAGGGGTAATTATTTCAGATGACTTAAAGGTAGGCAGACAATGTAATAGAGCAGCAGGAAATGCTAGCAGAATGCTTGGTTGTATAGAGATAGGTATTAGCAGTTGAAAGAGGGAAGTGCTCATGTCATTGTACAAAACACTGGTGAGACCTCACTTGGGGTATTGTTCATAGTACTGAAGACCGTATCTCCAGAAGGATATTAATACTTTTGAGAGAGTTCAGAGAAGGGCTACTAAACTGGTTCATGGATTGCAGGATAAAACCTACAAGGAAAGGTTAAAGAAACTTGGAGGAAAGATGAGACGGGGGGAGGGATATGATAAAAATATTTAAATGCATAAATGGAATCAATGCATAAATGGAATCAACACAGTAAAGGATGAGACTATATTTAAAAGAATACCACAACAAGAGGACACAGTCTTAAATTAGAGGGGCAAAGGTTTCAAAATAATATCAGGTAGTATTACTTTACTGAGAGGGTAGAGGATGCATGAAATAGCCTTCCAGCTGAAGTGGTAGAGGTTAACACAGTAAAGTAGTTTAAGCATGGGTGGGATAGGCATAAGGCTATACTAGCTATAAGATAACGCCAGGGACTAATGAAAGTATTTAGAAAATTGGGCAGACTAGATGGGCTGAATAGTTCTTATCTGCTGCTGTCACATTCTATGTTTCTATGTTTCTACCTCTGCTTATCTCTTGAGATTGAACAGCATGTACCTAATGTCAAATGGAAAATTGCTACTCAATTACATAAGCTTATCTTATCTACTAGAATCTAGCACATATTCTTAAATTAAACAAATAAATAAGTCCAGTCAACAGGCAGAAGGCTAAAAGTCAAATAAAGGAATACTCAAAGCACCATGATCACCATGGTGAGCTGTAGTGGTTAATATACTAGAAGTGCTCCCCCCACCCTCTTTGTAAGGAATCAAACTATTTTAGAATTGTATGATTTCTTACCACTCCAATTTCCAACAATTCCAAATAAGAACCTGAGGTAATCCCTGCAATATTTTTTTTTTAGATTTATTTTATATTTAAACTAATTCTTATGATGTAACTGTGGCCATGTTGCATTTGTCTGCATTTTCCAATTATAACCAAATATGCCTTTAAATAATATTTTTTAAGCACTTGGATGTTTTATACATTCTAATTACATAGTTACATAAATTTATGTACACTTTATAAAACGTTGACATTTCTTATTTCTGTTATTATACCAACTAATTGTGACAATTTTAAACATCTGTAATGATGTATAGCCTCATAATGTAACCCTGGACTGCACTTAAATACCTGAATCACAAGTTCATATCAAATTTGAAGAATGTCCCCACATTTTACAATTTTAAGTGATATTGTGACTTAAAAAAAAAAAAACCTCTTTAGAAAAATGTCTCAGAAACCACTAACCTGCAGAGTTTGAAGTCCCATATAAGCTGTGTATAGCAGTAAAATTCCAAATGATAGAATAAGGATATTTTTCAATTGTGAACACTGCATTGTGATTTTTGTTTTAATGGTACTGGTTCAAAAAACAATCTGCCAAGGCAAGAAAAAGACAAAAGTTAGGAAACCATTTTTAAAAAGTGATTGACATGAAAGAGCATGCTTATTATATTTTGAATGATTGATTGTGCTCTATGCAGATATGTTGCAAACTATCTATATCTAAATCGGCCATCTGTGCATGCAAATGTCATATACAATTACTTTTGTGATGATTGTAGAAATGTGTTTAGTCAATCACACCAAACCTTAAAGTGACCCAACAGATTTGAACCCTGTATAGACACCCAGACTACTTCATTAAGTGATCTGGGTGCCATGCCCTTTTCTTTTTAACCATGCAACTGAAAACATTACCATTTTGTAGGAGCTGCAACATATTCTTCAAAGCACACCAATGGTCCAGGTTTGGCCAGCATCCCTATTTGAACAGCATTGGAAATTATTTAAACTGGTGGAGGGCATTGAGGATCTCACATTTTAGTGATATTATCAGGTTTATCATTGATTCAAGGGCTCGGAAGGAATTTCCTAAACAGCCGTGTTTGTAATCATCTTTCAAAAATAAACCTACATTAGAAGTCAGGAATATAGTGCTGAACTAGAGATTCACATAGGGTTATTTATTAATAGAGGTTATTGTTAGAAATTCAAACTTAATTTAAAATGTTATATCAATATGGTCAAACCGAAAAAAGTTTTGCCATATACTTTTACATTTACTTTGAATTCTTATAACTTTACATTTTAGTGAGATACCCCCAACTGTTATTGTAAGATACTGTAATTTTGCTTTTACCTCATCGAATCTAGTTTATTTAGACCCTAATATTTTATTTTTAAAAGAGCATTTTATTAAAATTGTTTCTCTTTACAAAATAAGTTATTGCATGAACAATATTACATTGGAACTTAAAGTGTGAGTCTCACATAGAAACATAGAAACATAGAATGTGACGGCAGATAAGAACCATTCGGCCCATCTAGTCTGCCCAATTTTCTAAATACACTCACTTAAGTCATAAAAAGGTAATTCACTAATCACAACAGATATCTGTTTCATTGGCTGAAGGTGACCATTTGACAAATCTAAAGAAATGTATTACATTATATTTACAATATTTTTTTTTAAATTTAGAAAAATTTTAGACCATGAATAATGATCCATTCATAGTTACATAGTAAATTTGGTTGAAAAAGTCCTTTGAATTCAACTTATAAAACAATCTTTTTAATCTGCTGATCCAAAGGCAAAAAAAAAAACACGTAAAAGTGATGTCACAAAAATGGAGGAAATGACTCTTGACTCCATAATTGAAATCAAATGGTCAGATTTGTCATTGAAACAACAACCCACACACAAGCTAACCATAACCTTGAATCATTTTGTTTTTCAAAAAATATATATATGGAAGGCGTGGCCTGAAGTTGTGGGAAGGGCTGGGTTACCCTTCTTAAGGGACTCCAGACCCTTCCCTCACTACCTGTTAGGTGCGACGGATTGTCACGGAAGTCTTCGTCAATTCCGGTTTCGGACAGAAGTTTCCGGCGGGCTCACTCGCGCGCGTTAGGTCGGGCAGTTTCTCCGAGGCATCCAGCACTACATCCGGATACCACGGGCAGGAGCACGCTAGGTCGGGCAGTCGGCGGGCAAATTTTTCACGCGGCAAATCGTATAGGCATCCTTGCTCTTTGTTAATTGGTGCCCAGCCCTCTGCTAGGGCAATATTGCTGGTGACTACAGATCGTCTGTACCTCCTTTTCCTCATTATAGCTGTCAACCCGCTCATCAGGTACGTCATATCTTTTTCGTCTATTTTCCCCATACCTTCCCTTTCGGCTTAGTACAGATTTACTGGCTTACAATAAATAGGACCCACTAGCTACGTTTTTCTGGCCTCTTATGCCTTCGTTAGTGGTCCCGCGAGGCCAACACCCATCCTCATTTCGGAGGTACGGCATTCCCTCGGGCTCATTTCATAGCTAGCCGCCTCGCTTAGTTGCATAGAGAGGGCCTCACTTGTCACTCCCATTCTGTCTTATGCCTTTACAAGTCACAGAGAGGCCACCACCCTGCCATAATGCCAATGGCCACGTATCCCACACGCGCCAAATCATAGATAGTGCCTGTCAAGGCCGCTTGGCTTCTAGCAGGGCCTCACCTGTCACGTTACTTAATAATTCTTCGCCGCTTGGCATTAGTTATCATAAGCCAGTTGGATAGCACCCCAGGTAACATGTTATTTTATGTTGTAGCATGTCTCAAGCTCCGGAAGGAAGGGAAGTTGAGTCCTTACCCAGTACACCAGCTAGATCAGTCAATCCGTCTCGGGGTGACGACTTCGCAAGCCCTGCCTCACTCAGGGCATGGACTGTTCCCAGGATCACGGCCGAATTAAGCAAGAGAAATATTCCTTTCCCTGCTACAGCTAGGAAAGCAGAACTGTACAGATTGCTGAACACACAGACTGATAACGCGGGGGCGGGTGAAGGGTCCAGTGGCACCCAATCTTCAGATCTAAATACGATTCTGTCCTCAGTCCTGACCTCTTTGGGTCGTATTACTGACAAGCTAGACAAAATGGATGCAGATAGCCAGCAAAAGTCACTGGCTGCTGCAGTGGATCCGGCCGCTTCGGTCCATTTGGACCCCCTACCGGGTAATTTACAAAATAGGTTAAAAGACCCACATATTATTAACCCCGCACACATGGTGCCTGCTAAAACAAAGAAGGACATCTAGGAGGGGAAAGATATCAATTTGGTATCACTTTTGATAGCCTCAAGATGTCCTAGAGAATAAGACCTACGCATACGGTGATGTGTCAGTGGTACTGAAGTCCAGAGACCACAGGTTGAATCAGAAGCTATCAATTCCAGAATTTGTACTAGCTTTCGGTATATACAGAGATGTAATATGCTCGGTATACCCGGATAGGAGGGAGGAATTGGACCTGTATCTCCACAAGCTGGTGGATTTGGGGCATAAGTACGGTGGTACGTCTTTTTACGACTACCACCGTGCCTTTTCCACGAAGTCGTCGGCAGCCCTTTCACAGTTCAATTACCAAACGGATTGGGGCGTCCTGGATACAGAGCTTTTTTGCCGGCACTTCGCGGGCCTAAAAACCCCAGCTTGTGCCATTTGCTCGTCCAATTCTCACACGGCTAATCTGTGCCCTAATTCTCCAGAGGTAAACGCTGTTTTTCCACCTCCTAATGTAGTACCCACAGGGAGACCTGGCAAGGTGCTTAAAGATAAACTAGGCCGTGACATAGTGTTTTTGGGTAAATCGCAGGTCTGTAACAATTTCAACTCAGGTTCCTGCGGTTACAGTGCCTGCAGACTTCTCCATGTTTGCTCACTATGTTTCAGAGCTCACTCCAAGGTAATGTGCCCAGATAAACTATACCCTAAGCAGTACTTATCGTCTCTTCATGTCTCCCTACTGAAACTACTTTTGCGGGATCACCCTTCCCAACATCTCGTTGATTTTTTGGTGACAGGGTTTAAGATGGGGTTTCACACGGGTATTATTCACATGCCCACGGGGATCCTAGAATGTAATAATTTGCAGACAGCCTTGGCAGCACCCAACACTATTGACTTACTCCTACAGAAGGAAATTGACCAAGGTTTCTTATTAGGCCCTTTCAACCCCCCGCCTTTTGCAGTTTGGAGGACAAACCCCATAGGACTGGTCACCAATAAATCCTCCAATAAACAAAGATTAATTCTCAATCTGTCCGCCCCCCATGCATCTCATACCCCAAGTCTAAATTCACTAATCCCGTCTGAGGAGTTTTCCCTCCAGTATGCCACCATCGATCATGCAGTCACAGCCATACTCTCAGCAGGGGTAGGGGCATGGCTGAGTAAAACTGATATTGCCAACGCTTTTAAGCTGCTCCCTATCCACCCATCCCTATGGCATTTACATGGTGTTAAGTGGCGAAGTTCATATTACTTCTTCACGCGTCTCACGTTTGGCTCAAAAAGCAGCCCCAGGATTTTCGATATCTTCGCGGAGACATTGTGCTGGATGCTGCTTAACATCTGTAAATGTCCCACAGTTATCCATTACCTGGACGATTTCCTGACCATAGAAAGTAACCTAGTACCTCCCAGTAGCCTCCAGTCTATCACACAACTGTTTACACAACTAGGAGTGCCTATTTCACCTACCAAGACTGAGGGTCCAGATACTATCATCCACTTTTTGGGGGTGGTACTGGACTCTGTACACATGCAAGCTAGCCTACCCAGAGACAAGATTGAGCGCATCCTGGCAGCTATCGACCTTTACTTAGGAGGAGGCTCATGCAATAGGAAGGAGTTGCAATCCTTGTTGGGTTCTCTAAATTTCGCTATGAGAATCATTCCACAAGGTAGAGCATTCATTTCAAGGTTACTTAGCCTGTTTCCAATGTTGCAATCTGACACCTCCCGCATTACTTTAGACGTACAGGCCACCGCTGACCTACATATGTGGAAAGAGTTTTTGCAAAATTGGAACGGGAAAAGCATGTTTATACCGGTTTGGTCAGAGAAGTCGGAGTCAGTCTGGACGGATGCCGCAGCCACATCAGGTTTTGCAGCAATATGGGGCAATGAATGGATGTGGGGAGCATGGCCTAGGGAAATTACAGAAATCCCCCGGTTTAAGGACACATCAGCCTTGTTTGAGCTCTATCCTATCTTAGCGGCAGCAGTTAAGTGGGGTGCAAGTTGGTCCGGGAATACGGTTCGTTGCTTCTCGGACAATATGGCAACATGCCATATTGTAAACAAGGGGCGTTCCTCTTCCCTCACCATCATGCGTTTCATGAGGAATCTCACATGGCTCGCTGCAAAACACAGTTTTCTTCTCACTTGTGTTCATGTGCCTGGGGTCCTCAACATTGCAGCTGATCATTTGTCACGGCCTCGGTTTCAGGAGTTTCGGGAGGCCCTGCCAACAGCTGCCCTGATACCAACTCCAGTTCCAAAATGGCAGGAAATGGTCTGGGACTAAAAGTTCTGCTATGTCAAGGGCGACAACTCTCACAGCTCGGTCTCTCCGATAATACCAGGAAGGCATATGAAAGGGCTTTCCATGTTTTCAATAAATTCTTGTTGGACTTTAATGTCACTGACCAGTTTTCTATGGAAACCATTATTGCTTTTATTTCTTTTTGCCACTTTCATCTAACATTATCTTACAATACCATCAAATTGTATATCACAGGCATTCAGCATCACATCCTCACCACTTGGCCTAACAAACAACGCTTTCTGTCGTCCTACCAAGTTAAGGCTATACTTAAAGGCATCAAAGACTCCGCCCCTATAGCCTCACCAACTAGACTACCCATACACGATGTATTGTTTCAGTCACTGTCAAAACTACTAGACACCTCACCCTTTGAAGCTCATACTAATCGTGTAATTAAAGCCGCCATCTATTTAGCATTTTACGGGTTTTTACAGCCCAGAGAATTCACTACTACTAGCTATAATTCACCCATTTTCCTCACAAGGTCCGATCTCATAAAGGTCCAAGATCACTATCTTCTGTTACTGCACCATACCAAAACGAGCGCCCCCGGGCAAACGGTCACTATACCCTATTACCCCACAAGTAATACTTGGTGCCCGGTGAAGGTTTTCGACACCCTTCTTGCCTTTGACAATATGGCACCCCCACAACCACTCCTGTCCTTGCACGGTAATAAGCTCACTACGAGCCAATTCATGATGTATATTAGGAGATTGTTAGCCCGGTTAGGACTGAACCCAGCCAGCTACTCTGGTCACTCTTTTAGAATAGGAGCCGCCACCACCGCTTCTAAAAAGAATATCCCTGCTCACATTATTCAGATATTAGGACGATGGAAATCTACGGCATACACCAGATACATACCTCAGCCCATACAAGAAGTACGCCTGGCTTTCAAAACTATGAATATGTAATCTGTTATGTCCGGTTGTAGGACGAATAAATGGTTTTCTCTTTTTGCCCTCTTTTATTTCAGGCCTACTTCCTCGTCAGTTCCGGCACACCACAACTGACATTTCCTTTCAGGGTTTTTCCTAATTATATAAGTTATATTACGGCTTATGCCCTGACCACAAATGGAAGGCGTGGCCTGAAGTTGTGGGAAGGGCTGGGTTACCCTTCTTAAGGGACTCCAGACCCTTCCCTCACTACCTGTTAGGTGCGACGGATTGTCCCACCCACCACACCGCTTTCATAAGCATTTTATAAGGTAGGCCCTCTTTTATTTCAGGCCTACTTCCTCGTCAGTTCCGGCACACCACAACTGACATTTCCTTTCAGGGTTTTTCCTAATTATATAAGTTATATTACGGCTTATGCCCTGACCACAAATATATATATAGCTAGGCCTTAAAATGCCTTTTTATTTTGATTATCTGCATAACTTAATGAGATAAAAAAAGTTTCACATCTTTATTGTTCTTCCTCTACAGAGCCCTTTGCTCTGCTGTAGCAAAAATGCCTTTCTTCCAATTTGAATGCATCACCTTTTTGTCTATTGTAAATTCTTCCAAGGTTAGCACCTAGCTGTTTGTACTGACACTGTATATAATTGTATAGTGCTACCATGCTACCTCTGAGATGCATTATGTAGTTTGTCTAGCCTTTCTTCATAGCTAATCTTCTCCATCCCCCTTATTAATGTTGTAGCTCAGGGTTTCCCAAAGTGTGGGTCGCAACCCACGCCTGCAGGGCCGCCGGGGACTCTAGAGACCGTGAGACAGACTGATTAGTCGGGCACTCAGGGGGCCAGGGCTTGCCCTGTATGCTGCCGGGCCCCTCCAATCAGTCTGCCCATCAACTCCGGTCTGCAGCTCCACCGTGAGATAGAGATCTCGCAAGCATCCAGAGTGTTACCATGGCAACACTCTGGGTGCTCGCGAGACTTCTATTACATGGTCTGCGGCTCTGCATCCGGCGAAGCTGCAGACCAGAGGGGTAATCCCCCGGATAACCAGGGAGAGACACTGGATAACCAGGGACTTTATTATCTTAAAAATGAAGGTAGAACAAAGTCCTCCATACCCTGCCACCTCCCCCACTATAACCCCTTCACTCCCTGCCCCCCCACACTGTATCCCCTTCTCTCCCTACCCCCTCCCCACACTGTTAACCCTTCTCTCCCTGCCCCCACACTGTAGCCCCTTCTCTCCCCCCACACTGTAGCCCATTCTCTCCCTGCCCCCATCCCCACACTGTAACCCCTTCTCTCCATGCTTACATTAAAACTCTCAAACACTGCTCACAAATATAACCCTGCAATCATGGGCAAATGGCAGATCCCCCGCTGGCATAGCATTGTTGAAGTTCTCCGACAGATGGGGACCTACCTTTTGGCCACCCCTTCTCTCCATGCCCCATCCTCACACTGTTCAGATGCAAACATTACAAACAAGTACACCACTACATTCCAAAGGCAACAGTACATACAAATACACTCATACATGCACACATATATTTAATACAAAAACATGCTTACATTAAAACTCTCAAACACTGCTCACAAATATAACCCTGCAATCATGGGCAAATGGCAGATCCACAGCTGGCACTTCATTGTTGAAGTTCTCCGACAGATGGGGACCTACCTTTTGGCCACACTTGCACTAGAGGGGTGCCCAGAAAATGTACTTGCACCATGGTCCTATTCACATTTGTTCCACCGAGGGTCGGCGCTCCCTATAGGCAAATTAGGCAGCCGCTTAGGGCTTCATGATAGCTTGTGCAGCGGCCGCCCCTCCATCAAGTTAGATTATTTTGAGCATGCCGCCGGCCAAGTTACCGAGCACTCAGAAGCACTTACATTGTTGCTCACTAACGCTCGGTAGAATACAGGTCTGACGGCATACACATCAGCCTGCTCAGCCAGGACCCCCTCCTAGACATCCATTGTGGGGCGTTGGCCGCAGCGCAAAGGGCATTTCAATTCATCGCTACCGCCCCTTCCCCTGTACATGGAGAGAAGTGGGCAGGAGCATAACATGAAATGTGCTGAGAAAGGATGTGATGGGCAGCCAGGCGCAGGCAACTAACAGCAATGAAGGTAAGGCGTGTCAGAGAATGTTTGTTAGTCAGTATGTTTGTGTATATTAGTCTGTATGGGTCAGTGTGTGTATGTCATGTGTGTAATGTCTGTATGGGTCAGTGTGTGTGTCTGTATGGGTCAGTGTGTGTGTCTGTATGGGTCATTGTGTGTTCGTATGGGTCATTGTGTGTTCGTATGGGTCAGTGTCTGTCTGTATGGGTTAGTGTGTGTCTGTATGAGTAAGTGTGTCTCTATGAATCAGTGTGTCTGTATGAGACAGTGTGCATGTATGTCATGTGTGTAATGTCTGTCTGTATGGCTCATTGTTTGTGTCTGTATAGGTCAGTGTGTGTGTCTGTATAGGTCAGTGTGTGTCTGCATGGGTCAGTGAGTGTCTGCATAGGTCAGTGAGTGTCTGCATGGGTCAGTGAGTGTCTGCAATGTGTGTAATGTTTGTCTGTATGGGTCAGTGCGTGTTTCTGTATGGGTCAGTGTGTGTCTGTATGGGCCAGGGTGTGTGTATGGGCCAGTGTGCAATGTCTGTCTGTATTGGTCATTGTGTGTGTCTTTATGGGTCATTGTGTGTGTCTTTTTGGGTCAATATGCGTGTCTGTATGGGTCAGTGTATCTGTATGGGCTAGTGTGTGTATGTCATGGGTGTAATGTCTGTCTGTGTGGGTTATTGTGGCTGTATGGGTCAGTGCGTGTGTCTGTATGGGTCATTGTGTCTGCATAGGTCAGTGCGTGTGTCTGCATGGGTCAGCGTGTCTCTGTTTGTGTCTGCATGGATCAGTGTGTGCATATGGGTCAGTGTGCATCAATGGATTAGTGCGTGTGTGTCAGTTTGCATGGGTCAGTGTGTCTCTATGTATGTGTGTCTGCATTGTTCAGTGTATCTGTATGTGTGTGTCTGCATGGATCAGTGTGTGTATATGGGTCAGTATGCATCCGTCTACATGGGTTAGTGCATGTCTGTCAGTTTGCATGGGTCAGTGTGTGTGTCTGCATGGGTCAGTGTGTCTCTATGTGTGTGTGTTTGCATGGGTCACTGTGTCTGTATGTGTGTGTCTGCATGGATCAGTGTGTGTGTATTGATCAGTGTGCATCTACATGGGTTAGTGCATGTGTGTCAGTTTGCATGGGTCAGTGTGTGTCTACTTGAGTTAGCATGTGTGTTAGTCTGCATGATTGGGTGGAGCAAATGATGCACCAAATTAGTTTTTGCCTAGGGCAGCAAAAATGCTTGCACCGGCCCTGGTTCCACCACTGGGAGGTGCCTGTATGAAAGAGCAGGACACAGCACTGATTCTGACTGAGTCTGTGAGTAAGCAGTTGCCAAGTTTCTGCCTCTAAAACTGCCATTATATGCCAAAATTATGCCTCTAAAACTGCCATGATGTGCCAAATTATGTCTCTAAAACTGCCATGATATGCCAATTTTATGGATCTAAAACTGATTGCCCTGGTGTGCCAATCATATGCACCTAAAGCTGATTGCCCTGGTGTGCCAATTGTATGCCTCTAAAGCTGATTGCCATTGTGTGCCAAATTATACCTATAAAACTGCCATGATATGCCAATTTTATGGATCTAAAGCTGATTGCCCTGGTGTGCCAATTATATGCCTCTAAAGCTGATTGCCATTGTGTGCCAATTGTATGCATCTAAAGCTGATTGCCATCGTGTACCAATTGTATGCATGCAAAGCTGATTGCCATGGAGTGCCAAGTTTATGCCTCTAAAACTGATTGCCATGGTGTGCCAATTGAATTCCTCTAAAACTGCCATGACGTGCCAACTTTATGCATCTAAGACGGTTTGCCACGGTGTGCCAATTTTATGCATCTGACTGTTTGCCATGGTGTGCCAATTTTATGCCTCTAAAGCTGATTGCCATGATGTGCCAATTTTATGCCTCTAAAGCTTATTGCCATGATGTGCCCAGTTTATGCCTCTAAAACTTATTGCCATGGTGTGCTAATTGTAAGCCTCTATAAATGATTGCCAATGTGTGCCAGTGTTATGCACATAAAGTTGCCATGATGTGCCAAGTGTATGCATCTAAAGCTGATTGCCATGGGGTGCCAGTAGTGTGCCTCTAAAACTGATTGCCATGGTGTGCCAAATGTATGCATTTAAAACTGCCATTGTGTGACAATTTTATGCCTCTAAAACTGATTGCCATGGTGTGGTAATTGTATGTCTCTAAAACAGATTGCCATGGTGTGTAAATTTTATGTCTCTAAAACTGATTGCGATGGTGTGCCGATTGTATGCATTTAAAACGTGCTATGGTGTGCCAATTGTATGCCTTTAAAGCTGATTGCCATGGTGTTCATTTTTAAAATATGCATTGAAAGCAAGTGGGTCAATAACCCATACAGAAAAAATAGCTTTTTGAAAAAGTGGGTCTCTGCCCATAAAAGTTGGGGAAGCCCTACTTGTATTTGCACTTTTTCTAGTTTTGCAATTATTCTTCTAAAAACTGGTGCTCAAAATTGCACCACAAATTCAAGGCATAGTCTTTTCATTAATTTGTAATGAGGCAAAATTATAATTTGATCACCAGAATCAATATCCCTTTTTACACAAGACAACACAATATACAATGCCGGTCTGCCATTGCATATATTAGCATTTGCAGTGGCAGATGGACATTGCATACTGTTGCCTAGTTTGTTCTCTGTAATTGTTCCCAAATCCTTGTCATTTACGGTTATCCATAACTCAACCCCATTTAGTGTGTATGAGGCTTGTGGCTTCCTTATACCAAAATGCATTACTTTTTATTTAACTGTATTGAATCTCATCTGACACTTGAATATTACAATAATGCAACTTTGATAAGGTGCAACAGTGCTGCCTAAAGACAAAGCCATCTATATATATCACTATAATATATCCAAAACCTTCTATAGAGAAATTATATCATGTTCAGATCTTACCTAATTTTGTGTCATCTGCAAACACTAACACACAACTTTCAATGCACACTTCAAGATCAATTATAAATAGATTAAAGAGAAATAGAACCAGGACAGAACCCTGAGGCACCCTACTCAAAACATTTGTCTAATTTGAAATCTTCCAAATGGAACATTTTCAAATTGGACATCAGTTTTAATTTGTAAATACAAATATTCTCTGTACGCTATCTTCAAGCCAGTGTTTTATCCAATAATAATACTTGTCATCTAAGCCAATTGATTTCAGCTTTAACAGTAACATTTTGCGTAGAACTGTATCAAATGACTTAGCAAAATACATGCAGATCACATCCACTGGAACAAGCTAATCCAGTGTTTCCCAAACCAGTCCTCCAGACAGTGTGCAGTGCTGCCATTCAGTGTCTCAACCCTCTGCATGCAGACACTGAACTTTCCTCATGTTGTTTGGCCAGGGCTGTGTTTGACTTATGTTAGATCTGCCCCTGATATGTCTCTTTGACATTCTCAGCCAATCCCATGGGAAAGCATTGTGATTGACTCAGAACAACACTTCTGATTATGTCAGATCAGGGGCCAGCAGCTGCAGACTGGAACAAAAGTAAGAATTTACTATATTTAGGGCAAGGGGGCTACATGGTGGTTTTTACACTTGTTGGGTCCAGGATACATGTTTGTGTTCCTTATCCTACAGTGTTCCTTTAAGTTAGTTTGGCATGACCTGTCTTTCATAAAACCATGTTGGTTCCTACTAATCGTATTGTTGATCAAAATGTATTATTGAATATTATCCCTTAATAGCCCTTCATTTAAAGCTCACAGGTCTGTTGCTTCCAGGTTGTGCTTTTAAACCCTTTTTTAAATAGCATATGTCCCATTATTATGTGTGAAAAGTTGCAAAAGGGGAACAAATTGTGTCAGACAACACATAAATTAATAAATTAATATGGGGCTTTAGGCACTTCATGTCAGACACACTGGCGCTTCCCTACCATATGGAGCCCTCCCAGTGGTTCTTTTTACCTCCCATCTTTCCAAATTTGGTTAATGGAGGAATCACAATGTTTCTATCGCTTCTGCTCCTGAGCATGCTGTGGATAGTGATTAGGCAAATATGTACTACCAGAGATGAAAGAGAAAAAGACCAGAGGAAAAGGGAAAAAGGAGGGAGAAAAGACATACCCTCCTTACCTTGACCCACAAGGTCAACCCAATAGGAAACCCCTACCTAGAATAGATGCTAAAACCTAACCTTTAATAGAGAAAAATAAAAAAGTCATACATACAAAATATATACAGAAAGTAAAAAATAAAATGGAAAGAGAGACTCTCTCTCTCTAAACTCTGGAGCTCCTAATAAATGACGTGTCACAATTTAGTTCAAACTGCATGCATGATGAAGGTAGTATATAAATAGCTAGTTGCTGGAAAGCAAGATAGCTAAGTGTTCCCTCTCTCTATCTGCCTATAGGGAACACTTAGCTATATTGCTTTCCAGCAGCTATTTAGCCAGGAATTTCTTTTTGGGGGTTGTTTGTGAAGTGGTGGGTGGTGGCTGCACTGTGTATATACTACCTTCATCATGCATGCAGTTGGAACTAAATTGTGACACGTCACTTATTAGGAGCTCCAGAGTTTATTAGCCAGCTCTGCTTATTTTGGGACATCCGATTATGTCTCTATACTCCTAAGAAAGGGACAACGTTTACTTCTTTCCCTTTCTGCTAGTGGATGTGAGTCATCACTTTGTATCCACTTGTGAACTCCTTGTAGCAAATATTAGTGCTTTCTATCATTGATATTTTGTGTCACTTCAGACAAGGATCTCTGTCTTTCTTGTGGCAGAGATTTACAGTCCGACTTATGTTTGTACTGGAGGTTTTTATAGGGGGTTTACGCCATTATATATTATTCTCCCTATTTATACCCCACTTCTTACTTTAGCCCCCTTACTTATTAGCCTAGGAGAGGGTACGTCACACTGCTGTTTCAGCAAATTTGATTATTACCATTAGGTGATTCTAGTGGATTCCATACACCCTATTTTTCTATTTGCTCCCTCTCTTTTCATTTTATTTTTTACTTTCTGTATATATTTTGTATGTATGACTTTTTATTTTTCTCTATTAAAGGTTAAGTTTTAGCATCTATTCTAGGTAGGGGTTTGGGTTGACCTTGTAGGTCAAGGTAAGGAGGGTGTGTCTTTTCTCCCTCCTTTTTCCTTTTTCCTCTGGTCTTCCTTTTTCTCTTTCATCTCTATTAATACATACCCCCTAATTCAGGTTGCCCCGGACACACATTCGGCTGATCTACCTTATTGGTTACCAGCTGCTCTTTACAAACTATGTACTACCGCCTAGCTTAGTAGTATTCCTAAGACTTTCACTAGTTGTATTTTTTTTTATGTAATTACTAAAAATGTGGCAATTGTGGCATCTAGCTTTTACACTATACAGATGCTTTTAAATTGCTGACTTGATTAGCCAACATAACTGCCTTTCAAAGCTTCAGTATTTGATTAGATGCCTAAACTATCTTAATAAATGCTTCTTTACTAGAGCTGCGTAGCAAATTGGTATTTTTATAAAACCTACCTGACTTTTACTACAGTATGCAATGTGCCAGGATTAGTCTAACGTCTTACTTGCAGAGATAAGATCAAACATTTGTACATAGGAATAATATAGGTTAGTCATGTATAACTGATCTCTTAATCATTGTCATTACCCTCAAGAAAGAACCACAACACAACACTGATCATCTTGGCGCATTGGTTTAGATAGAAAAAGGCTATGAACGTTCCTTCATCACTAGGAGTTGAGTGTATTGGGTCTGCAGAATTCACATCCTGGTTATCACTGCTATGCTAGACTTGCTATCAGAAAATGCTTTTGATGTAAATTATATTTTTTGGGATCAGTGAGGCTTGGGAAAGAGGCACAAAGCTGACAGGTAACCTAACACAATATGTGTTGCAGCTCAACCGTTATATTCAGAGTCTTCATCAACATACATCTCCTAGATTAATTGCTTTCATTCATCACTATGCTAGGTATTTTTTTTTAATTTAGATATATGTTTTTAAAATTATTTTATTTCAGTAAATTTGAAAATATCTGCAAGGAAAAATTGTAATTCAACTATCAAGTATAAAATATGAACCTTTTTATTTTTCCCTTTTCTATTCACCTTATTTTACATACAATGTATTTCCAGAGATAAAACTGAAATGCATTTTGTTAACGTGCAATTCTAATATTAAAATACATAGTATGTAACATGTTTGAGACTCTTGATGATTCAAGCAACATAACAATCATTAGGGATCATTAGCCGTGCTTGAAACTATAAAACTGTCAGTTTCAAGGTACCTGTTCTGTCTAGTAATACATAAACATAACGTGACATTAAATAATGAGCTGCGCTATTTAGCTTCTGAGCTTTTGAGTGTAACATTCCCAGATCTAGTACATGCTTGTTTTTACATTAAAAATATATACATTTTGATATAATTAAAACGTATATTAACAATTTAGACAGTTCTTATTCAGTACGATACATAAACCACATTGAGAACATGATACTTTTGTTCTAAGTGAGAAACATTTCAGTTATTCATGTAAGAGCTATATCCTCATTTTATTCTTATCTTAGTATAATTTAACTAAAGGGCCAATTTTGGACACTTTAAGACAAATTACTGAGCTGTGAATATAGTTGAAGATGATTTTCGTTCAGCTCAGATACTTTAGTCTAAATATTGGAAGTCCATCCTCAGCTCTTAACATACCATTGCTTAGTGAATAGTCCTGTATCAGTAGGTAAATTATTTTTTCCTATTCATTTTTATATAAGTAAATCTAAAATAAAAAAATAAATTATATGAAATCAACCATTTTGGATGATTGAATATTGGTTAACATATGTTTTCAGTCATGCATTCTATGAAGCACTAAGCAGCAAGTAACAAAAATAATTCAGTGGTTTCTATGTTGATTGCTGCACAATTGGAAAATAGGAAAAATAATTCAGTACTGCGCTTTGTGTTTTTATTAATATATTATTTAATAAACATAATATATTGATGCACTATTTTAACAAGTGACTAAAATGCAAGATAGCAAATTAAAGGTAAAAAAAAAAAAGGTAGACGTCATTTATACATATGTGCAAAGTATATAAATTAAAAATTAATAATTAACATAGTACTCACTGTTTGCGGGTTAATCGGTCAAATATTTTCAAAATTATATTGGTACCCTAATACAGGAGCCAAAAAAATCCCAAACACTATATTGTGTTTCTTTAAATGAATGAGTGAACTATTATCACAGTCACCTTTTTATAGTACAACTTATGTGACAAATATGCACACCCTGAAATTAGAGGAAATTGCTTTAGATCACACCTTTCTTCTTTGTCAACAGGTTTTAGCCATTTAAACGTCATAGTTATTTGATAAACCATTTTATTCTAAATATTTATGTTGTGTTGTTGGCTAATGACTATTGGGGTTTTTTTTGTTTTGTTTTTATGTTCAAGAGATTATATTTATCTTTAATATATGTCTGTTCCATTGGATAAAATTAAGGCTAGGTGGACAAAAGTTGGACTTGGTAGTTTACCTTTTTTCCATGTATTTTATCATGGTTTGTTAAGGTTGGGGTTAAGATGGATCCCTACAACCATATAGGAATAGGGTATTTTTTTTTTATTTAACTGCCACAGACGTTTATTAAAGGGGCATGCAAGACTTGACAATTATTTTATTTTTTTAAACCAGAAAGCAAAACTTTTAAACAAATATTCAAGCTAGAAAAAAACAAGAAAAACTTATACTATATAATAAATATTTATAAACTTACTATTAACTCAGATTACATTATTAAACATGCATCTCAGCAAGGGAAGTTTCTTCAGCCACCTTATCCAGGGCCGCCACCAGAAATTTTGGGGCCCCTAACTCAGCTCAGGGTCTGGGCCCTCTGGGTCCCGCCTCCAAATACCGCCCACAGGGTCCACCTCCAAATACCGCCCACAGGAATACACACACAGACACACACACTGATACAAAAGGACACAGATACATACTAACAGACACACATACTGAAACAGACATACACACATACTGAGACATACACACATATACAGACACACAGGCATACATAGTGACAGACAGACACATACTAACATACATATGTGAGAACATAAAGACACATACATACACACTGACATACATACAGACACTGACATACATACAGACATACATACAGACATACATACATACATACATACATACATACATACATGCATATATACAGACATACTGACAGACATACATACATACTGACATACATGCATACAGACATCCATACACACAGACATACATTCATAATGATATGCAGACATACATTCATACTGACATACAGACATACATATATACATACATAATGACATACAGACATACATTCATATATACATACATACAGACATACATTGATACTGGCATACATACATACAGACAGACAGACATATATACATATATACATACATACTGACAGACATATATACATACATAGTAAAAACCAAAAAAAAGAAAAAGTTACCTGCGCTCTCTCCTTAATCCCTATGTATATTTAGACAAATGACCTCCATTTGTCTAAATATACATAGGGATTAAGGAGAGAGCGCAGGTAACTTTTTCTTTTCTTTGGTTTTTACTATATATTGGGGCTGATGTGTACTGTAGTCATTGCTGCCAACCCAGTAGTGATGGGAGTGAGCGCAGGACTTATCTTTTTGTATTTATATATACATACATACTGAGAGACATACAGACATATATACATACATACTGACAGACATACATAATGACATACATTGATACATGCATACATACAGACATACATTCATAATGACATGCATAATAACATACATACTGACATACATTCATAATAACATACAGACATACATATATACATACATAGACATACAGACAGACAGACATAGACAGACATGCATACAGACAGACAGACAGACATGCATACATACATACATACATACATAGACATACAGACATACATGCATACAGACATACATACATACATACAGCTCATTTGTCATCCACACTACTGTCTCTTACCTTTTCTTTGCAGGAGGGTGGCTGGGGCTGATAGGAGTTGGCTGGCTCTCCCTCACTGCCGGGCACGTGCTCCTCCCGCCCGGAGTGAGCTGGGAGGAAGTGACCACTTCCTCCCAGCAGCACTTGCTGCGGCTGCTTTTTTTTTTAAAGGGGCCCAGTCGCGCTATTACACGGCCACAGTGCTGACCGGGCCCCTGAAGATATAGGGCCCATCGGGTGGCCCACACATCTAAAATAAAAAAATTAAAAAAAATTAAATGAAATCAACCATTTTGGACGATTGAATATTGGTTAACATATATATAACATATATACACACTTAGTTCCGCCGCTACACGCGGGCCCCGGGCGGCCATGCCCCCCAGGGCCGACGGGCCTGTGACAACCATCACCTGATGGCGGCCCTGCCCTTATCCACTCAGCTCAGTTTCAGTCAAGTCCACTAATGACAGAAACAGGGCATGATTATGCAGCAGCAGGAGAGAAAACAACAACACCAAAGCCTGCTTTGCATGATCACATTGATCAGACTCCTTCTTTTCTCCCCCTGTCAGGATGTTGCAAGTTGAAACATATTTAAGTTAAGAAAATTGACATTTTTTACTTTGTCAGGCATGCCCAGTTGATTTTTCCAGCATTCTTAGGGATAGGGCACTTATTGATTAGATAAGTTCTACCCCTGGAGGGGTTGTGGAAAGCAGAAGAAATCAGAAGCAGGTTAAAAAAAATCAAAATCATATCAAGTGAGGCAACTGTCTCATTCAAAGCTAAGGTTTTTGAATTATACAACTGTCTCAAAGTGATGCACAACCTTTTATCATGGACCTGTAAAACTTGACATATGTGTTGGATGGTATTGGGGGTAAATAACACAACCTGGGTTATATTTATTACTATTCATATCAGGTTTGTGCTCAGTTTCCTTGACACTTACTTTACTTAAAAGGTAAGGGAATAGGACCATGGAAGCCTGACCACTCTATTGCGTTCACATTCTCTTTAGTGTGTTGTCTAGGGACTCCAGATAATGATATTACTCATATCCAACTGCAAATAAAAAGGTTAAAATTCAGAAAAAAAAAGAGGTAAGTAATAAGTGGGATCACGTCTGTCTTTAATAGTGATTGGACCCTGGGCTAAGCATTTGCTTGGGCCCCATGGACACTGCCCCCTCCCCCCCTGATCCAGTCATGCTATATGACTGGGGCTCTGCCATTTACCGAGGTTTGCAGGTTTGTATTTAGCACTGAGCAGTGTTTGCGTGTTTGAATGTAAATAGCTTTTTGCATGGAGTATGTTTGAATGCAAGCATGTATTTTTGTGTAGTGATCATTTTTGAATGCAGGGTTCTGTTTCTAAATCATTTTGGTGTTTAACATAGACGTCTGTGTGTATGTAGTGTTGACATTTCACTGCAGGAGTACCATATATACTCGAATATAAGCCGAGTTTTTCGACACATTTACTTTGCTGAAAAAGCACTACTCGTCTTATACTCGAGTCAATGTCTGTATTGTGGCAATTTATATTGCCACAATACAGACTAGGACCGCCGGGCTCATTACAAGCCCGGCGATCCTGTTGTGGGCTGACAGAGCTGTTACTTACCTTCCTGCAGCTCCTGTCAGCTCCCTTCTCCTCCGTGCATCTCCTCTGTCAGCTCCGTTGTGCTTACAGTGTAAGTCTCGCGAGACAGAGGAGCTGCACAGAGGAGAAGGGAGCTGACAGGAGCTGCAGGAAGGTAAGTAACAGCTCTCTGTCAGCCCCCCACTGAACAGCCAATGCCACTGGACCACCAGGGATTCAATATTATTATTTTAATTTTATTTTAATAATAATAAAATAATATTATTAAAATAATATAATATTAAAATAATAATATTATTTTATTATATTATTTTAATATTTGAATTATTTTTTTTAAAATGTTATTTTGTCCCCCCTCCCTGCTTGTTGCCTGGCCAGGGAGGGGGGACAAAAACACATTTAAAAAAAAATAATGCAAATATTAAAATAATATGATAATAAAATAATATTATTATTTTAATATTATATTATTTTAATAATATTATTTTATTATATTATTATTATTTTAATATTTACATTATTTATTTTAAAATGTTTTTTTGTCCCCCCTCCCTAGCCAGGCAACAAGCAGGGAGGGGGGACAAAAAACCATTTAAAAAAAAATAATGCAAATATTAAAATAATAATTCTCATTTCCCTGGGGTCCAGTGGGGCTGCTGGGCTGCCGGCCAGTTACTGCAGTCGGCGAGGGAGCACTGATGATCCTGTTCAGCTCCCTCGCGTGGCACGTAGTGATGCCGGGGCTGGAGTGACATCATATTGTTGGATCAACAGCAACAACATATGTGAGTAAGGCTGAACTTGATGGACGCAAGTCTCTTTTCAGCTATGTAACTATGTAATATTCCGGCTCCGGCATCACTGCGGGGTGCGCGAGGGAGCTGTAAGGGAGGATCAGCGCTCCCTCACCGCCTGCCAATAAAGGGCCTCCGCTGCCAGCCTTGGAAGGTCCTGAGGTGGCCAGCCGGCTAGCTCCTGGGCCCCCCAGTACAAGAGGATGGCAAGACAGGGCGATTGGAGGTGGCTTTTTTTTGCCACCATCCAGAGAGTGCTGCCCAAGGCAAATGCCTTGTCAGCCTCGTGGTAGATACACCCCTGATCATATCCACACAGAGGTAATGTTTTTCTAAACTAATGAGGTTTACATTTGTTAACCTTTCTTCATAGCTAAAGTGTTCCATTCATTTTATTAATTTTGTAGCCCACCTCTGCACTCTTTCTAGTGCCATAATATCCTTCTTTAGAACAGGTGCCCAAAATTGCACAGCATATTCAAGATGTGTTCTTACCAGCGATTTATAAAGAGGCAAAATGATAGTTTCATCCCGAGAATTAATCCCCATTTTCATGCATGACAATACCTTACTGGCCTAAGCCACTGCTGATTGACATTGCACATTATTGCATAGTTTGCTGTCTATAACAATTCCCAAGTTATTCTCGTGTGTTGTTATCCTTAATTCACTTTCATTAAGGGTATAAGTTGCTTGTGCATTCTTTATGCCGAAGTACATGCAAACACAGATACACACACTGAAACACAGAACACAACCTGACACACATGCA